CAGTTTGGCAAAAGCAGGAATCGATAGCGCTGTCTGTTATCAGTCATTAAAGAAGGGTCTTTTCCTCCACACCCATGTTACCCTTCTAAAGGTAAATGGCCCGAGCAATAGATGGCTATTTAAATGCTTTCAAAGGTGCTTCTTATCTAACCTATAAGACACTGGTTGTCGAAGAATGGGCCACACCCTCCCTCCGATGTACTGACCCTAGTTTTCCCTTTCTCTCCGCCATCGCTCGAGTACTGAAATTCCCCGTCAGGGAAACTCTTTTCACCAGTCCTACAGAACTCAACACCGCCATCAATGGCCAATCTGCTCCAGCAAAGCTCTAACCCTGAAGTCTGCGCTGTTCACTCAGAACCCAACCTGTCCCAGTTGATTGCTGATCTTCCTCTGCCTACATTGATACGGCCAACCCTGAATTGTTCCAAACCATGTTTTGATTTTTAAAAAGTCAAGAACGTTCCAATAATCCCCGTCCCACTCCCCCCCGCGCCCCCGCCCCCCACAAAAAAAATTACTTTCAAAATAAAATCCCAACCTATTGGGTTTAATAAGAATCTAATATGAGCCTTCCGATTCCGAGTTTATCATTACTATTCTGGAACCTTCAAGTCATAAGTGCAGGCTCTTTTGAGGTCAGACAGGACTACAGGGAGTGTGCTTCCCCGTTGTGCTGTAGAGAACGGAGCTTATGTGTTGAGGATACCTTGGCGAAGACCATTTAAATGCAATAGACATAGAATGTTTAAGACTTGTAATTTCAAGTTTACAACCCAACATTCCACCTGGCACCATCGATATCTACACCCAGCTGTGATACATACACACATTAGATTTGAGAAAGCCCTGTTGCTTGTACAAATAACCATTTATCGCATTCTCTGGAGTTTATTTGGTCGGGACACTGTTTGCAAATCAAATTTTAATACCCTTTGATTTCGGAAAGACTCGTGCGCAGAATAACGAATGCTATTTAAGACGTTTCAGAGAGAAATATTGTATATTTCCAATCATTCCGCTGATAAATTGACAGGGCTGGTGTTTTTGTGAACAGGAAACTGTGGAAATCTTACTTCGTCAAGCGTGGCACACCATTTTAATAAAAAGTTCGACAAGAAGTATAACCGAAAATGCTAAACCACTGTAAAATTGCACAATCCTTCCTGGCTGGCAGATTTAAGCTTTGTGATTACTAATTTAATTTTGGGGGTAACTCATTGGCAAATCAATTGCTGTGTTTAACTTCCAGATGTGGCTGTTTTACCCCAAGTTCCAGTTCTGACATAGATTATATATTAGGAGTTGAGTTACAAGAGTGACGATTTTTGCTTTAGACTTGCAGATTCTGCAAGCTATTAAGGTGAAAGAGCAATGACTGTAGACATATCTACTTCGATAGAAGAATTACAAGTATATGTATGTGTCAACTAGAAAATATTGGAGTTAATCACAATGGAGTTAAGTCAAATGATGGTGCTTTGCAGATTTTATTTACGTGTGGGGGAAATACTCAAATTTTTATTCAATTTTATTCTACACAAACGAATCCACAATCGACATGAATCTACATTCAAGAGAGAATTCTTCTCACAATGTGAAAATATTTATCTACAAACACAAACTTAAAATGAATCGAAAGGCTATTTTGCACTGACTGATTTACGGTCCTGGGCATTTCTGCGGTGTGCAGTTGAGTGCTGGTCGGCTATTGTTAAAAAAAACTGCATCGCAATCTGCCAATGTCACCTCTGCAATATAATTTAGGGATGTTAAAATGTATCTAAATTGTGGGCAATCAACACCTTGTATAGTCTGATTAATTTTGCCATGCTACGCTTTCACTTTGTAACAAGAAGTCGAGATTTCTTTTTTTGGTGGTGGGGGGGGGGGGGGGGGGTCGTGGGGATGTGGGGAGGAAAGGGGAAGAAATATGGTATGTGTCGTGAGAACTTTCACTTACCGCATTTCTCTTCCCACCCTCCCCCTTCTCCACCAATGTCTTTTGTGACCGATGTCATCTCGTTCCACAAACATTGTCTGCGAGTGCTGTTCTTGTGTTGCAAAAAGCATTGGTGAAACCATGCACAACTTACAACGGCATCGGGCATGCAACTGTCCTTCAATTTCAAATAACAGCAGTTTTACAAGATAAACCCAACAGTGAGGAGAGACCGTGAAAATAATCCCCCTTTCACAACCGACTCCTACGGTTACCAATAAATGAAAATCTGAGCAAAATGTTGATCTATTCACAAGCTCAAGCTGAATGAGAACGTTTCCTTAAAGGCGCTACTCTTACTGGCGGACTGATGTGACACGACCGGCTTCAATGGGACTCTTGCGTCAGTCAACTGAGCATACGCTGCATTCACGTTACGTTCTGGAACTGGGAACCGAATTCCTATCATGAACGAGGGTCTCTTTTGGGCAAGCTCATCAGTGACAGGAGAATCCCATCCATTTCCTGTCAAAACAGAAGAGGTTGCTTCTCTCCTGTCTACGCAATCGACATTGCTGTTTTTTAAGACTTTAGTTGCCAGTGCAAGGAGATGGTTTTTCTAAGAGGGTAATACCATCTCTCATACTAAGCGTTTATATTTGTAATTACAGATCATTTACAATCCCAATAGCTGTTACTAAATAGCCTTGAGCACAGTGTTCTAAACAGAGGTGCCTCTACGCAATCACTTTAATTTGGTTTGTTTGGACATTAAAGATTCTGCTGCCCCGTTATCAGGATTTCTTGTTTAAGTCTACGAAATTATCACTACATTAAAACTGTAGCTCTCCTGCCTGAGTTTGCCGACTGTGGAAGGACACTTCCTAACGTTTTTATTCCCCAAACATCCTTTTTTTCTTTGCAAAGCTATTTCCCGGGGCTTTCTAGTTAGTTTATACACCAATGCTTCAGGCACGATGGGCTGAATGGCCTCCTTCTGTGCTGTAAGATTCTACGATTCACATATTCAGTCCGTCTACCTTTAATGCACACTGGCAGTTGTCAGAATTCATTGTGAACAGACCTGCACTGACCTACTGAGATACCGATTGCAATATCTTTGATCTCGAGACTGTTCCTGTGTAAAGAGTATAAATTAAGAGACTGTCTACCTTAGTTCCAATATGTACTGGAAGGTGGAATCAGTCTCTGAGCACGGTATTTGAAGTGCTTTTTTTTTTAAACAAGAGTACACAGGTGTTATTGAGAGCAAGCTGCATAAAATCACGGAGACTTTGTACATGGAGTAGTGTGCCCCAGTGCATGGCCTCCCACATGCGTACAATGCGGAGAGGTTACACGGAGTACGGTGACATAACCTGTCCCTGTATGACCCGAGGGAAACTGAGTAACACAAGACGAAATGAGAAGCGGCTACCACTCACCCGTGCAACCCAACTTTTGCTCCAATTTAATGACACGATCAGGCAAAATTGAGCGATTGCATTCGTGATATGACTGATACTATAATCTGGTTTATACCGGAGCCAGTTAATACTGCATGTCTGCAACGATTCCATTATTTACCTGGAGCCCATTTAATTCAAGGTGGGGTTTTTTTTGGGGGGGGGGCGGCGGGGAGGGGGGGGGACGACTACCCTTATAAAGAGCCCAGGTTACATGGTTTCATTTGCAGTGAGATTTAGGTCTCGGAGACGGTAATTCGATTTCGGTTTGTGCTGTCACAACCATTGCCAGCCAAATTAGGGGCAAACTCCCCTCACTTAGATAGGCCTATCTAACATTATCCTACTCCTTCTCTGAGTAGCGAATATACAAATTAAAGGTACACTAAATTGGCTTGTAAATACCATCAGCAACTCATTATAAACCTACTGCATCCCATATATGTTTGGGACAAGACGTAGGGTTCCTACTAGCCATAGTAGCAGTGCTGGCTGGCTCAGTGCTAGAACTCTCTTGCCTTTGGACTGGTAAGCTAAAGGTTCAAACCTCGCCTCAAGGGTTTCGGACCTGTTAATACTATCATCCCAGTCTGACATTAAGAGCACTGCGCTGAAGTACAGGGTGCCATACTTTGAACGAGAACCTAAATCAGGAGCTCATCCATGTGGACACTGCTGCAGATCCCTGTAGTGCTTATTGCAAAGAGCAAGAGCCAGCAAGATCAGTGCTCTGACCAATATTCTCCTGAGAAACCTCCTACCCCATTACCCCAGGCCAGCGACAAATGGATGCCTTTAACGTGAATGCGTAGGCACTATCAGGGTCATCCTGTGCAGTCACTGACTGTGTGCTGTATGAAAAATGCCATGACTCCAGGTCTGCCCAGATTCGGATCACAGCAGCACCAAGCCTTGGTGTTTCTGCTTCCCCCTTTGTGTGGGCTGCGCACACATTTTTGCTGGCATGTGTTACACCATCAATCACCAACAGCAAACCTCAGTTTCGCGTTAGTTCTAACTGCTGGCTGGCCACTTCCAGTTATGGTGACGAGCCAGACAGGTGCTTGAAAAACCCCAGACAAACTGGATTGGCTCTAGGAACTACGTACCAGTCAGTCAATCACTACTAGGTTTGCGTGGCACATATTCCTGGCATTTTACCTGAGCGTAGAGCACGATTAATGGTTGACCACAACTATGAAAGAATGCGTTAAACAAAGTAGGGTAGTTTTCACTACAACAACAGTTTGGATACAAGGGAAAACAGAGGGGTGCATCAATAAACTCTCTAAATGAATAGCGTTAATATATACCTGATGGACCCCAGCTTCAGTTTTGAGAAAATACATTTCGGATTAAATCTTAGCTAACTTGGTATAAACAGCATTGAATGAGATTTTGTCAATCAGTGGTGGGTAGCCTCATGTTAGCTAAGTGTCTGTGTACTAAATGGTATAACTAACTAGGTTTTCTTTTGCCGACTTTACGCCTGTGGCTATTTTTTTTGGCACTAGTTCAATAAATATTTAATTATTTAGATTACTATCAGAAAATAATATTTAGCTATGAGTATTGGAAAAGTAGCTCTGTAAGGTTCTATAAAAAAAGTTCACTGTTATTTCAAAAGTTTGGCGACGGTTTGACTAAATTTGGAGAAACGACGTCCGATTTTGCAGGCACGAGGCAAAACAACCGGCTACATCATTTTTGTGGCACCAGACATTTTTTTTTTGCAGGAGAATATTTAAAGACATCTTAGCTCTTTAACCTGTCTCGGCTTTCCCCCGTCCTGCTGTGCACTGAGCTGCATCATCCGCAGTCATTACCAGGTCAGAGAGCCAGTCACCTCGCTTCCAGACACGCTGAAATTAAGCAACACTTCAATCCGTTCCAACGCCCGACAGCAATTAACTGGTGAGACACCAGAATGTCCGGGGTGAGGGGGGGGAGGCTACAAAAAGAAACCATCACAGTGCCAACACGACCAACACGGGTTAAAGAGTCAGATCAAGATTCGATCTGTGATTTGTTTTTGAGCCTTAATAACCAATTAAGTACGTTAACTGCAAGGAATGTGCATTAAAAACAATGAAAGTTAATAAACAGTTCATTTCCCCTGTTTCAAACAATAGTCATTATGTATTCATCGTGTTGAATTATTCTGTCGCAAGGTCTTTTAGCTAGATACTGAGATAGAGCATAGAAATTTACGTTATGGAGACAAAAATATTGTGGGGAGTGGGGGTGGGGGTGTTTCCTCTGTCCTTTTAACCCTTGCTTTGCCGAATAATCAGAATCTCCATAATGTTTGTGCAACGGATGGCTGTAAGTGATGAATCAGGAGTCATTGCGCGCATAATGGTGAGCATCCATCAGCCCACTGATCTCCAAAGCCTCCTTCGCCCTGCCCTCCACACACCGCATCTTCACGTCAGCACATGGATACATAATAAACCATCGGACTTGCACGTCGGCGATGCTTAAAACCTGTGCAGCTAGCTTCTGTGTCAGAACTCATCGAGCGGTAAAACATTTGCACCCAAACAGTACAGATGTAAGTAACAATGAAACCTTCATAAAAACCAGAAGCGAGAAATATACATAGCAGCTGCAACGAGTGCACTGGAAAGCAATCTTAAGCATCAGCAGAAATGAAACAGCGAGATGAAGGTGTGAATTTTTCAACTTCAGTTTTCCTTGAATCTTGATCTTCCATCGTAAAACGTCTCGTTTTTTTTTAACCAAACAGTGGAACCCACGTAAGAAATAATCAGCTAAAACGTCTGAACCAAGGCTCAGCTGAATGCCAGGTAGGGGAGGAGGGTGGGAAGGAAAGGGAGTCAGAAAATCGTTCAGGTCGACTCGACTTAAACGTCTGTGGATAATCTATTTCCCCCAACATTGTTGGTCCTTGTGTGTGTTCAAATTGTCAACAGCAACTACCAAGGGTTAGGTCCTTCCACCACAACACAGCCTGTTACTTCTTGAATGGCGTTAACCTGCTAAAGTTCTGCCAGAAGGGAGATTGGCTTCGTTTGGGTTCCGTTAGTTCGTACATGGACTGATGGGGTATGCCATCAGCGAGCATGAAGTTTCTCTGTTGCAAAGGATCAGGAGGCGCTGGATATGAAGGAGGCATCGACCTGGTGTAGTTCACTCCTGAAATCAATAATAATAATAATAATAATAAAAATAATCCTTGCATTTGATATATCGCCTTTTCACCTCGCTGAGACGTCTCAAAGCGCTTCATTCAACACACTGCAAAGTGAATCGACTGCGTATTTTATTTTTGTAAGCGAAACACAGCAGCCAATTGCGCACAGCGGTGTCCCACAAACACTTGTGGATTGAGTGACCGCTTTTTCTTTCTTGGAAGGGTTAATACCCCCTGAAAGCGACCCACCAATCGACCAACAACCGGCTGCCTAAATTTGAAAATAGAGCACGGCCAATGTCGCACAGTGTCCTGGACTGTTTCAGGAACGTCACACGCACGCAAGTCTTGGTGAATAAATGAATACGCAGAGAAAGCTGCAGCGGTACACAACGGGAACAACAAAAAGCATTTAGATAGCGCCCTTCGCACAGGATAACATACGCGACAGGAACAAGGAGCTCTAGACCTTTTAGGTCTTAGTATTTGCCAGGAAATGTTATTTCACTTAGTTTACCTGCCAACAGTTTCTAGCCTCGCTGTGTCAGAGGTCAGAACGATGAAGAAAGCAGGCAAAGAAAATGCTATCTGTAAACTTAACCTGTGCATTTTGAAGAACAAGATGAGCTCCTACTTTTGGGTATTCTCCTGGGCGATTAAATCAATCAGAACTGGTTAATTTTGGCTGATTTAAGAACTCAGCCTGTTCTCTCTCTCTCTCTCTCTCTTTTTCTCTCTCTTCCTGTAGTGCTGGCTCCCTGTGGGATATTGCGTTGGACGAAATAACTGGCACAAACTCTCATTTGCAATGCGGGCTGGGGGTGAAACATCTGTTAGCTTCAAGCTGTTGTCGAGAGAATGCCACAAGGCCCCAATTTCTCAAAACGGTCCCTATCTTTACATCTCGTGGAAATAAAAACATAACGTGGACACAAACACAAACTAAAATAGGGCTGTGCGTACGATTGCTTTAGAGATCAAGCCCTTGTGCATTTAAGCATCAATTATTTTTTATTTTAAGATTAGCCTGTTGGGAATTACTTTACATGATGGATCAGGCTTCCGCAGAGAGAAACAGGGAGGCTGATTTTCTGGCAAAGTGCTTTACACATAACTCCCTCTAAGCCAGGCAGACTGTGAGAGACAAAGACGGGAACAGACCAGCACCACTCACTTTGCTCCAGCTTTTGACCTTCAGCTAAGGGAGAAAATTTGACTGAGCTTCCGAACCACTCCAAACAACAAGCCTGCAAATCCCTGAATCCACAGACACTCGTAGAACCAGAGGACACGGCCTGCGACGGCAAGGGAGGCTAAATTCAAGGCAAATCTGCGGAAACGCTATTTCAGCGAGCGAGCGGTAAATCGATGGGAGCAAAGTTCCCTCAGGAGACAGTGGAACCAGAAAGTGTTGATTCTTTCAAACGCAAATGAGATAAGATTTCTTTCAGGAAATAATATTTTGGGATACAGTATATGGGTAGTTCAGGCTGTGACAGGAATGGGAGAAGGCGAGCTGGGGGGACCTTGGCCTTTTTTCATCTGGCATTTCCTATGTTCCCAACCACACCAACGACATCTTGCATTTTTTTATATAACGTCCTTCGTGTAGGAGAATGTCTCGGAGAGCCTACCACAAGCATTCAAATCGTTACTGAATGTGTTAAAATGCATGAGTTATCGCCAGCCATGGTAAACACTTAATTGCAGGGATTAAGCCTGACGTGAGTGATATAACTTACGTTTGCAAGCAAAGGTATTTTTCAGCCCCTATCATGGCTGGCAGGGTTATCAGGCTGCTGAAAGATTTATCGCACGTTATCTTTGTTTTAATCTTTTAAGCAAACACTCAGAAGAAGCTTAAGGAAAAGGCCGGTCTGTGATTGATTTGTGAATAGACTAACCACAACAGAGCGGTCAAATGGTCTTATTCCAAGGAAAGCCTCCACCACCTTTGTGGTGCCCCTACTTACTCCTCACTTAATAATAACCCTTGCAATTGATACAGTGCCTTTCAAGTCTGGAGGGTGTCTTGATGCGCTTCACAGGAGATACTGTCAAGTGTAGTGACTGTGTTTTGTAGGCGAACAAATTACGTAAGGAAACCCACATATAATGCAACGTGGAACACTTGACCCCCAGCAATTGGCAACTCGCTTGCATAGAAGGTCAATGCTCTCTCACCTCCGGTTGTGAACACAGTTGGGCATTTGTCGAACCCCGGCATCGGTTTCTTGGCAGACTGGTGAGCCATTGGTTTGCGCCTATCGGAGACCGCACAGCACCAAAGAAAAGAAGCAGCTTTGAAACAATGTATGGCTCTTGCCTGGGATTTTATTGAGGGAGGGTTAAAATCCAGTCATCTTCTGGCTCCAGGGTGAGACAGCATCTTCAATTTGCGGTAGTCTCGTGATGACGTTCGCATCGGATTGCTTTACATTTTATGAATCGAACACGATTAATAGGGGTCGTGTGTCAGTAATATCTCATTTGCTGGGAGGACAGTGGGTCTGCCTGAGCCCCGGGTGGAAAGCGAGTCCATTTAATCATTGGCAGACACATCAATGGAGTACGCTTTCAATCTACGAGGGCTGTCCCCGTCAGTCTATGGATGGGGTCAGGGTATTTTACGGGAGAAGAGCAATTGAGTGGCTGGCAGGCAGAGAGTGACATTAATGTTTCAAACGCTTGACAGTTCCCGAGTAGCTTAATGAGAATATAGTTTTGGCTTTTGACATCAAAACGTTGAGTATTGTGAAGCAGCTAAAGAACTGACTGAAGAAACCAGAATTTCTGCAGTGGATGCAGTTGATCCTGTCTATCGACTAATGCAACATCAATGGACAGCAATTTCTAAATGAATACTTTGCTCCCAAACTATGATATCACAAAAGAGTCACAAGGCCACGAGATTGGTTTGGATAAAGAAGGCCCTTTAGACCATTTTATTCCAATCCTCCAGAACAACTGACCCCCTACTGGCTTCCCATCATCTCAACTGTTTGTGGAAAATGCTGATATCTGTCCTGAAATTGCCATTTACAGCTCCAAACCTGTGTCCTCCCCCAGCACCAACCCTCCACTCCCACGGGCTCAGATTCCTTAATATAATAATAAATAATAATAATCCTTGCCTTTGATATAGCGCCTTATCACATCAACTATCAAGAATATCATTATTTAACAACTCAAATTTAAGTTATTGAAGAATCCCATTAAGAAACAGCGCAAATCAGTCCCCGTTTAATGCATTGTGACCTTTTCTTTTAATATAACCCATTTGATAAAGAAAATCTTTAATTTCCTGCTTCGAATCGCTGACCTCTCACACTCAAAGAGCCAAGAAATCACATGATATTCGAGGAGCATTGTTCATCAATCAAAGCAACACCATATTGAGGGGGTGGGGGTTGGGGGTTGGAAAGGTGGTTCGGTATAAAATAACCACAGCAGTAAATTTCCTGAAAACATTTGCGTCATGAAACTGAGCACAGGAATTAATCCCCCTCCCATACACGGCACCCACAATACCGGTAAATGCACAACTTGAAGTGTTGCAGATTTTGTTAGGTGATCAGACACACTCGGACGATTTCATGCCACTAGTTTCCCTTCAACCTGTGCATGCGGAAACCTGGGCGACGGGATGCTAATTTACGCAGTCTCGACAGCATCCAGCATTCAAGTGTGCCTCCACATCACGAGTCCCACGTGGTGTGTGGGCAGAAAGGTTCAACCCGTGTCACTTTCCCAACCTACCACAGCCTTCAAAGTGCATCGCTGTTTAGCGTGGAACAAGGAGAGAGATGTTGGTGATCTGTGTACGGGTGTACTCGCGCGCGGGTCTGTTTGTGGACCTGTGTGTGTGCACACGTTTGCATCTGTGTCTGTACCCATTTGCGCGTGTGTGTGTGTTTGTTTCTGCAAGTGCATGCGTGTGTGTGTGTCCCTGGGTAAGGGAGGATAAACCAGACCAGGTGCCTGTTTCTTGGCCCTCTTCAGTACCCTTTACTTATATGCCAATCACAGAGAACGATAGAAAAGAATTGGACGCTCTAACATTCAAGAAAAGAAAAACACACACACACACGATAAGCCTCACCTTTTTGTTTGCTGACTTTCCTGACAGTCATTGCTGCTTGTCTCTTCTGGTACTCCGAGATTTCAAACCCTGAAATTCACAACAGGAAAGAGAGCGGTGATTAAGCAGACAAGGAAAGATTTATTTTCCACATTAGAATACGCATTACAACACTGATTTGTGACATCAGCATTTGGGGGAATGATTAATATCAATAATAATCCTTGCATTTGATACAGCGCCTTTTCATGTCTTCGACACGTCTCTAAGAGCTTCACAGAATACACTGTAAAGTGAGTTGACTATATATTTTGTTGGCAGCCAATTGCGCACAGCTGTGCCCCACAAACAGTTCGTGGATTGAAGTTGATCACCATTAAGGGGAAGAATAAAAGCAACATTTTGATGTTACAGTCCACACGAGCCAGCATTTAAAGATGAGTATATTTAAGATGAAATCGAAACTGCATTTAAGAGGAAATTAGGATCAACATTTGAAGAGGAACAGTATGAAAGAGGATGGGAAAGGAACGGGGGAATGATATTAAGAGTGCAGCAGTTAGCGCCAATGGAGGAGTTGGCACCAGGCTTGGCTTGAAGGGCCAAATAGCTCAGAAGGGCTGTCATTTTGGTGACTCTATAATCGCAGGCAGCTTTGTAGCCTGAACTTTGCGTTCGACGGAAACTGCACCAAAACTAGTTGTATCCTTGCCTTTAATTCTCAATTCCCATTTGTCCTTCAACCCGGACCGGATTCAAACCTCGTTCTCGGGGGAGAACCGGTTTGAAGCACCAAAGGGGAAGTGTTTTATTGCAACGTCGCCGACATTAACATTAACCCTGACAAAGCGAAACCCTCTGCAAGACAGAAAATGATTCCGCTTGCGTTAATTTCAACATGAGTCACAAAAAAAATAGGGTTGTCGCCAATGCTAATGTCATCTACCTAAGCGGCGAGGTCAAGTAATATTGATGCACTTTTCCGCGGATAGAGGTCGTATCATTTTGACACTGAAAGTGTGAAAGAAATGGCATGTTATACAGACTAGAGTGTGATACACAGTAAAACCTGCGACGCGCTTTCAGACGTCCTCCTGACGTGAAAGGAGCTATAACAAACACAAGGATTATTATTAATTCCCCCGTAAACTCAAAGGGCTGAAAGGCCTCCTCCTTGTTCTCCCTATGCTAACAGAACTTTTGTTTTTGTTTCGTCTTGGGCCAGGAGTAGACACAGCCCTTTTTAAAAAATTTCCCACACGATGCAAGGCATTCTTCCTCCCGGGGGCAACGGTTTAATTCCCAAAAGCGAAAAGTTGGGAATCCATTTAAATTAAATCAGTGATGTGCACCTCACTGCCTCAATAAACTGCGCTTGGCAATTCTAAAACAAAATAAAACTAACTGCACCGTGGGACTGGGGTTACGGTTTAGTATCACTGTCACCAGCTCTAGAAACAGCACGATTAGAATTGTGCCGAATCGCTCTCGATAGTTAACTTGAAGGATAAAACTCGCAACTTGCTCCCAAACCAGTTAGTTCCTCCCCAACTTTGTCTTCATCTGTCGCAGCACTGAACTACTGCAGCCGCCGTTCCACTCCATCAGGTTATAATAATAATAATCCTTGCAATTGATATAGCGCCTTATCACGTTTTCGAGACGTCTCAAACCGCTTCATAGAATATACTGTAAAGTGACTTAACTGAAAACGTTGTGGGCGATGATTATTTGGTACTGACAAACATGCCAAGTTGTTCGTAAACTTTGCTGAGGCAATGTTTTAATGCATTAGCAGAATGATTTACCCCTCCTCTCTCTCTCTCTCTCTCTCTCTCTCTCATTCACACTCTCCTCTCATGATACTGACAGCAAGTGCTGAGAACTTTGTATTGACATTTGAGAAAACATAAATTGTCAAAGTTAGACGATGGCAACGACTGAAGCCTTTCCTTGCATCCCAAGTCAAATCATTGCCTATCTCAGTGTAAGGCAGGCAGTCTGATGGTATTTTTCCAATAAACGATCAGGTTCAGGTCAACTTTCAGCCAGATTCCAGATTGCCACATCCGACCACTGTGCAGCCTCTGCTCCTAAGCATTGAATGGTGTGTTTCAAACAGCGGAGATTGCCGCATTTCATCTGAGGGAAGCAGTGTTAGATTGCTGGCAACTGTAAAGGCAGACACAAAGTGATTTTGGGTGCTTACTGTGGATCTAATAAAAATATGAATCAGTCTGTTGTTTTTCTTTGCAGCCTATTATTCTCCATTTTGGCATCCATTCCTTCACATATAATGTCCTTGTAGTGGGAATCCTATCAAGGCGCTTTGTATAATAGCGGTGATAAAACCAAAGTGCAATAAAAAATAGATTATTGAAGCGGGAAAGGCAAGAGATGCATTGCATTTGTATTTTTCTACAGCAGCAACCCAGCGATAGAAATTTAAGACAATCACTTGAGACCATGAACCACTTCATATCACAGGAGAACAAAGTATCAGAAGGTTTAGCTTAAGACAAGGTTACATGGCTCATTGAGGCAGTTTACTACAGAAAACCATTTACAATCTACACTATTGATAATAAGCCTTCATTCGATACAATGCCGTATTGTAGCCATATCACAGGATTTAGTACTGACAAACAAAGCAATTCACAGGATTTTACTGTAAAGTGTAGTGACTGTGTATTCAGCAATGTCCCACAAACAGCCATGAAATAACTGACTACTTTATTTAATCTAGAGGATTGTTGGTCAGGACATTGGGGAAAGTGCTTTAAGCACTCTGAGATGTTACGTGAAGGATGCTATATAAAGGCAAGCTGTTGTTGATATCTGATTCAGTCCAGTTATAGGGGATGAGCACACATACTGGATTTGCACTATACACCTGCACGGCTCAACCTAGAATCGATCAAAATTCAAGCACTGATTTCATGGCACAAATGTTGGCATTCGCATGCAACATTGGCCGTCCTTTCTCCTTTTCTCACTGGCACAGTCCTGCTGCCATTGCGTGTGTGTGTGTGATGTGTGTGTGTGTGTGTGGGAAGGATTTACTTGGCACTGGTTAGCATTACAATGCAGCCTCAACCATCCACGTGAATAACCAGAACTCTCACCAAGGCCACACTGCCCTCCTGAGCACTGTGCATCACAACAGCTCATTGGCATCAATTGCTCAATGCACCGCTGAGCAGGTGGATAACCTTAAAATGTCGAACAATATACGCTTAAATGCTCTGTTTCATACAATGCGTCACCACGATCAAGTGCAACAGCGCGAACACGACTCAAATGGTGCTGTTCCACCACAACACAGGAAAATCCACGCAACGTAAACATTGCTGTTCATCTGAGAGTAGACGACAGAGAGTAATCCCATCTTGGAATTCCGGACTCTAAGTTTCCCTCTCGCAATTTGTGGTGAACCCCTCAATTGGATTCCTGATTGCAATCTAAACCTTCCCCAATTTAGCACCAACTATATATCCCTCAGTGACCTGAATGGGGCTAATCTGCACATCTTGAACAAAGTGTGAAGTCGTGGAATTTCTTAATTAAGAAACCGCAAAGAATCAACTCCAGTATCGATACATGGATATGGATCATTTGCAAAACAACAAAAATATCTGACCTATCTTTTCGTCTTCCTGAACCATTCTCCTTTCTTCTCGAGTTGCTCGCAGCCACCTCTGTTTCTCCTCCGGCTTCTTGACACAGAATAAGTGCACTTCCTCTGTTTCCTTGTTCCTAAGTTTGAAGGCATTCTTGGCACTGATATTAAAATCGTCGTCTTTCCCATCCTCGATTTCCATTAGCTCATACCTGTCCATATCGAGCCTGCATTTGTAGTAAAGGATATCCCTTCGTATTAAATCCTGGAAGAAACAAAAACCAAACAGAAATCACGGATTGCACCGGGTCACGGATCCGCTGCCTGATTACTATAAAAATGATTTTAGGGAGCGCTCGTCTCGCAAGTGAGAGACCTGGGTTCAATTCCCGGCAGGTCAGAGCGAAACTTTGGGCAAGTTTTCTTACTCCACACACCTGATAATAATCCCTCAAGAAGTAAAAAAAACAAGAATAAAATTGATTATTTCCAATCCACGACTGTTTGTGGGACGCTGCTGTGCGCAATCGGCTGCCACGTCTGGCCCACAAATACACGGCCAATTCACTTTACAGTCTATTCTGTGAAGCGCTTTGAGACGTCTAGAAGACGTGATAACGTGCTATATCAAATGCAAGGCTTATTATTATTATTTGCTGTCGTCTTTGATGTTGGCTTGTAAAGGTCTGTTAAGGCATCAAAACCACCATCACGCTCCCTTTGCAGTGCCATCTGATTGTTACTTGTTGCATTATTGCCTTGGCACGAGGAAAGCTAACGGCTGTTTGCAAGTTGTTAGCGTCAAACTAACCGCGAGATCAGCCATTTACTGTGACGCTGAATAATGCAACGTCCCTGTTCCAATAGATTAGACGCTGTGGAATGTGCGCCATTATTTTGTGTCGCGTTTCGCTTGGGCAGAGCAGCCACTGTTCGGGGTGTGAGGACCCCCGAGGTCTCCTAAGGCTTTTCTCATACATTTTGCACATTGCTGCCCCTCCCTAACAGTCCCTCAGCCTCACGATAGAGCGCAGTCTAAGTGGAATCACTGAAGTGGATCTGCAGAAGTGGCACTATGTGGAATGGCTGGCTGCCACGCAGGCAAGATGCAAAACAGTAATTGCCGTTGAGTTTGGGAGCTGGTCAGCATTAATCACGACGGCAAAACTTGCGCTCAAACGTGGAGAAGTCCCTTTAGCGCTACTAGTGAAGGAGCGGGGAGGAGGGGGAGATCGGGGGGAGGAGAAGGGGCGAGAGGGGGAAGAGAAGCAACGTTAAAATTGAAAAAAAAACTCAACCAAACAACTTTAACAGCACTTTAACGCATTACAGAGCTGCAGTGTTCTGAAGGACTAAGCTCAACTCATTATCAATTCCACTTCACTGCTGCGAATACAGTGCAATTTACTCTCAAAGGCAGGATTTAGCTATATATACACATACATATGTAAACCTCAAATCTACTCTCTGACTGTTAGTATACTGATCATCAGTCTATGTGTCTCTCTCCCTGATTTCTCCCCCCGCTCCTTTTGCCTTTGGTTGAGTTCTAAGTGAATTGCGCTATTTAAATACAAGTCATTGTTGTCTCAAAGTTCTCCCCTGGGATTTACTGTAAAAATGATCATCAAATCATCGACCCCCGTATCAACAAACAGTTCTAAAGTATCACCTACTAAAGTAATGCCCTACTCCTAGCTTCAGGAATTGTTAGCTCTGAAATCAAAACTCTTGGAAAGTGTCACGAGGATTGGAATAATAACGATAAAATACATGAATAATAACTCTTACATCTGATACGCACCTGCGATGATGAGAATACCTCAAAGCACTCTTTGTAACGTTTCTGCGAAGTGGAGTGACTGTGTATTTGCAGCCAAACGTGACAGCTGAATATCAATCCAGCTGAATGTTTGCATTAAGATATCCAACATTTCCAATAAATTTAACAAACCCTCGGTGGTGATTTAAACTGTGAGTTGGCAGTATTGGAGTCTTCTGTTTGCTTACAAATGCGCGATCCCTCCACTTGACAGCAATTACCAGGGGAGTGTTGGATATGTTCCGATGTAACAAGCCCTACATCAAATGTAAGGGATTATCTATTATTAAATATGATTCCGTAGCTCCCTTCCATCGCTCTGTGCAAACAAATTCATTTGTAGAATCACTAAATGCAGGTTTACAAAGCTCGGCAAGAATGTTCTGATTGTATGTAGATGCCAAGGCATCAAGCGGACATCTGCAGAGCTTCCTGAGCAATGGCTTTCATATCATCACCTTGCAGACAGAATAAATGGCCTGACCTTTTAAGCAATGCTCAATTATTCCAGTCTGGAACCAGTACAGAACCAGCCAGCTTAATAGGACTGTTGACGAGAGATCCTGCTCAAAAGAATGACAAATTTATTTCCTATATTTTGTTTTGACGGCAAAAATTGGAAAAAAAATTGCGTTTCTAAACAGACACGGCACAAGGATACCAGATGAATCATTGGCTGAGGATCCATTTTCTTTCTGAGCCCTGTGTCTTTCTGTGACCTCATACACGCTTGACTATGCAAACTCATTGCTTGTCGGCCTCCCCAACTCCTCCCCCGTAGACTGCAGATCATCCAGAACTCTACAGGCCGTGTCCTCTCCCGCACCAGGCTCCGTGAGCCTATCACCCCCATCCTCGCCCGACTCCACTGGCTTCCCATCTCAAAGAGGATACAGTTAATAATAATACTACTACTACTACTACTAATAATAACAGATCCTGGTCCTCACCTTCAAAGCCCTCCATGGTCTTGCTCCCCCCTACTTCTGCGACCTCCTAAATCCCTCCCGTCCTGCTCACTTCCTCCGCTCAGCGGGCTCCGGCTTGCTTCACGTCCCCCGCCTCACTTATACTATAGGCGTGTGGGCCTTCTGCCACTCTGCCCCCACCCTCTGGAACTTCATCCCGCAGTCCCTCCGCCTCGCCCCCTCCCTCGCCTCCTTCAATACTCATGTCAAGACCCTCCTCTTCAGCTGTGCTTTCAATCTCTCTGCTTCCCCCCCTTGCCCTTCCCCAATCCCGATCCCGACCGGCAGCATGGGTCCAAAACTCTGTCTGCACGGCACCTTCGGTCATGCTTCCGGCGTGAAAGGCGCTAAACAAATGTAATTTTCTTGTTGTTGTTGGTCTGCTATTCATCCCCTTTTCTGTTGAGGTGTCAGCTGTCTCCTCACACTCTCCTAAATCCATAATCCCAGGAATTCCATTCTCTCACTCTCTGCAATACATCTGTCTTGCGATTGAGCCTTAGGACACTGGTGCCTTAGAATTGCAGCAAATTTCTCTTTCCCCACCTCCCAACTCCCCGTGTGCCTGCCTTAGATTCCACAGTGCGTTAATCCTCTAACAGCTCACCAAGCTCTAGATCACAGAACACAAATAATAACAGTAATTTCTCTGAAGCACCTTTTAACCCGGCTCGACGACACGATCAGGCTCTGTATCAAATACAGGGATCATTCTATAATATTGTACAACCATCACGCAATTCTACCTTAATTCACCGTAGCAACTCAAAGCCTTATTTCTCTGAAAATGTTACTTGACTTTCCTTTCCCTTACACCGTGAGGTGTTAGCTTACAGAGCACACAAGCATGGACATACACGGAGATGGGCAGGAGTGAGTCATTCGCAGATGCTCACAAAAGTAAAAGTGCCAACTACCCATGACACAGGTTGAATCACAATTTCAGACCCTTCCTGTCCTTTAGCCGTTCCTGATTTGCATTTCAGCAGATGGATCGAAGCAAAAGAAAGATGCATTCCACCTGGATGATGCATCGTTTCATTTGTTTTGACACCAGCCTCTGGAAGTATGTCAAAATTCTTCTGGGCATTTGCTGTATACTCCACCGCTCCTCAATCTAGAGGGCTCGCTCCCCTTGTAAACCAGGCAATGATACAGTGTCAGCAAATAGTAAATTCCAAGGAGAGCGGCTTGATTTGTACTGACTTAATCCAAATTGAAATCAGACCGGAGGGTATTGAGGTCGCTCCTCGTAATTCAAGCGCTGATTATGAAGATGTATCTTCGATCGCTATGAATCATAGCAGTGATCAGCAAATTATTGGACGGGGATAAAGACTTGAAAAAAAAAACCCTACGATCAATGAAACCAAGAGATAATTGCGGTGTGCAGAGAACAGAGTGTTAAAGTTATTTAATTCAGGCACTTGTGCTCATAGTCCAGTATATATTCAGGGCTCTTTCTCTCCACTCCCGCCCCCACTCCCCCCTCCTTCTGTGTATGAGTATTTGCCTTGTGTAATATCACCCATTACTTCTTTGTCAGGCACGCCTAAAATAATACCAACAATAACAATATTAATAATAATCCTTGCATTTAATACAGCATCTTTCATCATCTGGAGCCACTGAAAATTACAGCACAGAAGGCCATTTGGCCCATCATATCTGTGCCGACTCTCTTAGACCCGTTTACCTGCTTTTATCCCATTTTCAGATATTTATCCAGTTCTTTTCTGAAAGCAAATATAGATTTGGTCTCAGAGCCAGCTGCCTTGCTCACATAGAGCAAATGACAGCAGCAAAACTAATTGCTGACCCGCTAATTTCCCAATAAATCGGAATGTGCTTTCTCAAACATCTAGGCAATAATGACAGGTTTTGCTTTGAACAGGGTTGGAGGGGGTGGTGGGGGGGGGGAAACTAAGGCATCGACTCTGCATGTCAGAGTTTGCTGCTCTGCACAAACTTGTCTATCTACTTTTATTCAAACAGTGTAGAAAATGCAACTGGAATATTATGGACAGTCAATTCACTTTAGAGTATATACTGTGAAGCGCTTCGAGATGTCTCAACGGCGTGATATATCAAATGCAAGGATTATTATTATGAAAGAGTCCAGTCAAAAATTAGTCAAGCGATGCAGGACACGTTTTTTTCCCTGATATATCTGATCAAAGCAGAACTGCACGGTATTGCTTGTAGTTCACAATTGAAGGGAGGGGAAGTTCAGAACAAATCTACAGAAACGCTATTTCGGAGAGTGAACAGTAAACCTGTGGAACAGGCTCCCCAGGGAGATGGTTGAAGCAGGAAGTGTTGATTCCTTCAAACACAGATTATACAGTTTTCTTTTAAGAAATAACTTTATGGGATACAGTACATAGTTGGTTCAGGACGTATGTGTACGTGACTGCCAGGAAGGTGGGAAGGAGAACCAGATGGACCTTGGTCTGTTGTTGTCTAGCATTTCTCATAATATAATAATAATAATTTCTTATGTTCTTATAAGACGCCATACTCTTGTTATGTTCTGAGATAAGCTGATCTTTACGAAATTGCTTTTAATAATGCAAATTTCCTGCATCCCAACAGCTCATGGCATCAGAAAGGAATGCAAAAAAAGGTGGGCCCAGGGAATTGTGGTGACAACTTCCAATGCCACTCAGTACATTAGTCAGGAGGAGGCGTGAGCCAAATTGGGCAAGTCAGCCAGGTGTCAACACACTCAGCTCCAGTCATTCTGTCCCACCCTAGAAGTGGGGGTGGAGGGGTGGGCCAGGGGAAACACCTCAAAACACTTCAATAAAGATACAAAGATTGCCACCTAATGGTACAATCAAGCACTGGCAAATTTTATCCAGGTGAGCAATCTGGGTTAAAAAACAAAAACATTGTTCAAAGATACTGCATCGTTTTTTTTATATAAACGGCTGGGAGGAAACGCTATCAACACTTATCAAGAAAGATTGGGCAGGTTGGAGCTTTTCTTTCCAGATTGTGTTTTAAGATTATGAAAGAATTCAATGTGGTGGACGTTGACGGGCTGTTTCGATTTGTTGGGGAGTCCTACAATGCGTGAATGTAAGATGCCTCCAAAGGTAGTGAGATAGAATTCTAGGAAATTGATCTGACATTTCAACCAACGTTCAACTGTAGTTCCATTCTGCAAATGGCATTTCCATGGTACCCGTAGTAGAGTGATCCTTGTATCTGTGTATCCAATCAACTATCTCCCTCGCTTATCAGTCTAACCTTCAATCCCACTCTTAATGAGATATTTTCCAGTGGTTTCCTTTTCCAAAGGAATGAAATTAACAAGGCGTTCATCTATGCCGTTTATTCGCTAGTCTGCAGAAAAATGATTTCATCTCTGGTACCACTTGCAGCCTCCCCAATTTGTATTCATGTCTTCTAGTTCTGCACTCGCAGTTTAAGTTCATTAACATGCACTCGTCTACTTTATTCACATCTCTCGGTAATTTAAAGAACTGACTCATGCCACTTCACAATCCATTTTCCTCCAAACAAAAGGTAAACTTCAAGTCTGTGAGGCCCTCTCTACCTTTGACACTTCTTTCCAAGGTATCAATAACCCTTTTTTTTAATATAAAAGGCAGGGTGGCCCCAAAACTACACATCACGTCGCAAATGTTGCCCGGCCCACAATGACGCAGAGATAAAATAACTTGTTTCAACCCAAAAAAAAGCCGTGAAATATTTCCAAAATTTGATTTGCCTTTGATGAAGCATTTTCAGCGAATGGTCAGTAATTAGCCGAAAATCGCAGGGGAGTGGACCGGAGTGAGTGTGTATTTTGCAGGCAAACACGGCTTGCTGCCAGCAACATCCCACGAGCGGATTGACCAATGTGAGAAGGGAGGGCACAGCTTTTAGTCAAGTGTTGGTATCTAAACGGCCGCAGGCACTTCCACTTAGACAGAACTCCCCTTAGCATTAGTCCATTGCCTCAGCCGGACTTTTGTGAAATGATACAAGAAGTTGAGCTATTTTTACTCTCTTCGAGACGTGTAGTTTCCAGGATATCAAACTTGACAGATGAGTGGCAGCCTCCCTATGAGGGGAGACAGATGTCACCACACAGTGGATCTTAAAAACCTTCCTTTTTTTTAACGTTTCCATATTATTCTTGCAAAACTGTACTTAAAAACTGCAGCAACACATCATCCCGAGTCGACACAAGGAAGGAAGGGAACCCTGGCTGGAAAAAATGGATACGTGTGAAATGCTCATGAAGATGTCATTTCAAGAAATATCTGGGACTGATCCAAGCAAAAAAATGCCAATGCAATCAATCACCTTCCATTTACTCCTACATTCCTGATGTAGACTTGAACATTACGGATCTAGAAAGCCTGCACCCCACGCAATGCAAAGCCATGAAACCTCCGTCAATTATTGTGCATCTGCAGTCTGTGAGTAATGCAATCTATTGCATCGGTTCACCTCGACAGACCCAGACACGTTAAGGATTCTGCACTCTGTCGTCACCAACTTCTGCAGCTTTAACTGCGGTCTGGCCAACGTTTTTCTACCCGGTGGTTATGTACCTCAGCGCAAATTCCATTCCGCTCTCTAGTGCCACCTCAACAAGGGAACGTTAATGGAAGCTTTTTGCCGTTCAATTCCCAGGTTGCAATAAAATGGAAGCAATAAAATGTAGCTAGATTTTATTTTGTCTACTGAGTTGGTGCCAGGTGTGTACAGCAGCTGCAGAGAGTACAAGAGGATGAACCAAGGCTTATGGATCATATCCTACGAGTAGCAAACTTGAGTAATCATGAATAAGAAAGTAACCGCTTGCGTGCAAGAACATTCTCAATACTAAAGTCAATGAAACGCGGGGGGTGGGAAGGCTAGGGAATAGGGGGAAACTACTACTCCTCGACCCCCGCCAGTACGTACGTGAATTAACCCTCAATGGAGGTACTTTGCAATGTTTGAGTGGGGCTATAACATGCAATGATTCTCAAACAACATCACTGATGTGTTACGTACTGTAATTGCTTTATTCTTTGCTCACAATAATCCAATCACAAACCCACGCCCTGGTCCTCCTCCCCCAGGATCCTTTTATACTCCTTGCTTCTATTTCATTGGCTCTTTCTTAATTGTCTTTTATTTCTTAAAGAGTTGTCCCGTGTAAGAGAAACACGGCATTCCCGCTGACTTGGGAGGAAAGTGGAAATAAGAGGTTTCGTTCTCAGTCACTGGCGTTTTCAGACGACTCACTGACGGAAAAATATCACGTGCAGAGGAGAAGCCGTTGGCTGAAGCTTGCTTACCTTTTTACACATCACCAACTGATGATCAAACAGGAAGAACATCCTCTGCTGATTCCGTCCGTAAGGCTGATAAATCCACGTCATCTCCCCGGAGTAAATCAACTCTGAGCTGCGGTCCAAGACGTCATCGCCCTTCAAAGTAAAGGATAAAAAAGCATTGAATTAAAAAAGGAAGTGGATCGAAAACACCATCGGGCATGGGGGCAAGAGTTAGAAGACGGGATGAATAAAAACGCACACAACAGACCGACCGAATGGCCTCGTTTCTGTGCTGGGGAAAGTGTCACGAAAACTGGTTTAGTCAGTCACACATAAAAGCACCACCAACACACACACACACACAGACACACACGCACTTTCTGCAGGCATAACCGGATGAACTGTGAACCCATCATGTCTACTTATATTTCCTAAATAGTCTGCGATATTGTATTGACTTAGTCTATTAGTGACATCAAGTGGCAGAAATCAATACTGCACCAACCTTCGTTTTTTACTCTATCGATAAACCATCCCTTTGGGAACCTTTTGATTCCTTCTACGGTGACCCCTCATTAATGGAGGAGAAGTACTGTGTCCGGCGTACTACAGTGCGAAGATGCTCAAGACGCATTGCGCGTCAGACGCGAGTGGGCTTCTCCCTGTCAGTGTTCTGCAACACTTGTGGCTTGAAACGTCGTCAGCTGACAAACAGCGCGATTATGGCAAGAGCTTAGAGCAGCTTGAACTGTTCCCATGGCAATGATATCCCAGTGATGGAGATGTTACTTTCCCCGATCGTGAAAGGCGCTGTATCAAGTGCAAGGATTATTAGAGGCATTATATTACACAATGGCATCGTGCACGTCAAATTAAACATTCCACCCGCGGTAAAAGCTGCCGTACCTCCCAGTCGAGGACAGAAGCTTGCCACTGGGCAATCTTGTCGATATTCTCCAACCTCCTTTTGCGTTCATTGATTTGTTGCGTCACATTCCTCATGACTGCCAGAGCAGCAGCAACATATCGATAGTCGCTGGAACAAGAGAAAGAAAAAGCTTTGCTCGCACTTCCTAAACCGCTCAATGGAAAATGGGAAAGGACAACACTCTCCACCTCTTCTTTCTCCCCCACTTTTAACAACTGGAAGGATTGGCACAAGAGAGAAATTGGTATGATTGATTGGGCACAGATTGCACTTAGCACTTCAGGAGACGGGAGTGAATAATGGAAATAAAATTAAAAGGGGGAGGTTAATAAGGAAACACTGGGTGCTCATGACCCAAAACCTGAGGGTGCTTAGCACTGCAGGAGTGAGGCACCTCTGTTCATTTCAAATGAAACTTTGACCCCCAATCCCCCACCCACCCCCCCCCCCCCCCCAAAGCAAAACACAACCAAGCTGCTGGTTTCAGATCAAAATTGACGCATCGTTTCAGCCCAAAGTTGAACAATCTTGAAATTTGAACAGTTCCTTCCTCCCTCTCTCCCCCCACGTAACCCCCCCAACCACCCCCCGAGGATTTGTGGGCTGGGGTGCTTGTCTCTGGGCTTCGCTAACAGGTAGCCTGAGCAGGAATCTGCAATGGTCCTACCTGCCTCCAGGTGGAACCATTTTGATTGCAACTTACAATATCCACTGCTTTGCAACTGCCCTGAGCAAATCGCAGCTGCTATTTTGCACATAATCATTGAACCTGTTGGAATGACTCCATGAGCAAAAGCTGTAGTCATGAAAAGAGAGAACTCAGAGGTAGGCAAATGCAGAGGTAGGCAAATTGAGCAAATGGGTTGGAATAAGTAAACCCGTTTCAATTCTTTATTGACCAGAGAGTGATGGAATTCTTTCAGGTACGCAGAAGTACTCGGTTCAGGACCCTGAAGGCCGTTTTTCGGGCAGACTTTTGCATTCATTGATTTGTTGCGCTATACTTCTTTACACAGAGGGTAATTAACAGCTGCAATGGGTTACCAGGACGAGTGTTTGAGCCAGAACACCAGACTTATTTAAGAAGCAGCTCAGTGATGGGATGGGGTTAGGGTGAGAGTTCTGGATGGATGAGATCAAATCAGTCGAAGGGCCTCCTTCATCCAAACCCCTCATGATCTAAACATCTGAAGGAATAAATGAGACAATGTCCTTGCCAAAATATGGGAACAGCGAGGTCTATTATGCGCTTTGTGTCAGCACGTGTATGCAGAGGGAATAACAGGTAACACAAATTATGTAATTAACAACCACTGAAAAGGAGCGTTACGAGTTATATAATTAATAAAGCCTTTTGATTTTTTTCTAATTCAATAATTAAGTACACCTGCAATTCCCTCTGTGCACATGTTTACACACGGCATATAATGCAGCTGTGTTTATACACTATCGTCCCCACTGTTACAGAGGTGGACCACAGATTGCAATTAACCCCTACGTTTCCAGAATCCTTCGGGGGCTGACCATTTGCGGCCCACATACATTGCGACACTGACACAAATATCAGTCCATTAAAACACCTCAATAAATAATTCATAAAAGGATAATAACTCTTAGCACATTCAGATGTAGGGGAAACAGCATTCTTATAATATTAACAAAAACTCACCGAAACAATTACAAACGTACCAAATTTTAAAATAAACTTTTAAAGAAACCTCCTGTTTTCTCTTCCTCCCTATTTATTCTCTGTCCCTTTTTCTAAATACAACTGAACTTTATTTTTCATAGAATCATAGAATTATGCAGCACAGAAGGAGGCCATTTGGCCCATTGTGTCTGTGCCGGCTCTTTGAAAAGAGCTATCCGCTTCAATCCCACTCCCCCGCTATTTCCCCATAGCCCTGCAAACCTGTCCTCCCCAAATAATTTTCTCCCTCCACCCCACCCACCCATCCTTTTATTCACTGCTGGATGCTGCAAAGTTGTGGATAACGCCGGGAGCAATGAGAAGAGGAAAGGAATGTCAAAATTCAAGAGGAAACTAAAAGGGAGCAAAAACAGAGGCAACAAAACACACCTCTCTGCCATAAATAACCTAACGCATGAACTCAAGCCAGACAATGAGAAATAACGATATTTTGAACCAGTTGAGATTATAATCTGGGTTTGCATTCTGCTTCATGTAGAGGGGATGATCGCTGCCTCGTCAGAAGAGCCAAAATTCTCATGACTTGCTAAACCCGGGTTCCTTACACCTGTTCGGGCGAACGTTCAAGATCCTGTGACGCTACTCGATAAAAGAAAATCTCCTGATGTCCCAGTCAACAACTGGCCAAATAAAATCGTTCTGTTAATAGCTTCTCATGAGATGCTGCTGCTTACAAATCGCCAGTCATATTTGCCAACAAATACACTTGACGGCAATTGGTGAAGCCTCAGGTCAGATGGAGGAATCCTTATTCTCGCTGTTATTCTACGAGTGTCGCCGTTTTCACGAATGGAGCCCCAGGAAATCGCTTGCAGTTCTTACCTGTGTTCCTGCGCCGTGTACTTGAGTAACTCTGCGAGCTGCAGTGGGTATTTGCAGATCTTTTGCACCGGGGTGAGCAGGAAACCATCAATGGCGATGTCGATCATCTGCTGCAGGAGCCGGCAGGCCTCAAAGAAGTGTTGATACCTGCCGTCCTTCATCAGCTTGGAGAGTTCCATGCAAGCGTCCAGATGGTTGTTACAGTACTCGGAGTAGATCCAAAATCCATCTTGCTACAAATAAAGCCAACAAATACGCGTCAGGCGCGCGGGCGTGTACAATCCGACAATCAAACCTGCTGCGGAACGAAAGCTCGCGCGAGATGGACTAGGCAGGAGGGCCACAAGTAAAACAAATACTTCATCAGGGTAAAAATCAGAGCAACCGCAACTCGCTCTTTATGCCTCATCTTTATATGTTCTCCGGCCCGGTCCTGACGGAAAAGGTTCTCGTTACTGCTCCAGAAGACAAGACATCGGCTCTGAGCACAAATGAAGGGAAAATGCTCCAGGGCTAAGGAATTCAATTTCAGTCTGCATCCCGATCCTGTAAATGCCAGGAATCACTGGAATTTTAGTTGCACATTTACGTGCAGGTAAAATATTGTGCAGTTAATTCTGCTGTTCGCAGTACATTGCGAAGAATAGGCAGACTGTGGCTTGAGGTGAGTCTACCAGGAATGGCTGTAATAGCGCTTACACATTAAGACTAGCCTGCAAATCGACAAGATATCCTTCCAGCAATAAAGCATTTTCATCACTTTCACCGGTTTACAAGTCTTTTTACGTCGACTATAAGTAACTGAACACTCGGCAAACTTTTTTTTCCAGACTTTTTTTTGAGACCGAGGCCCTAAAAATGTGGATTTCGCGATTCGAGATGTACACGATTCCTGTTTTTATAACAGAGTTGACAAAGAGCCAACCTCCCACCTCCCGGTAGATGTGCGTAGGGCAATGTTAGTACCTAATTACTTACCTGAGCTGCTTACATCAGTGACAAGCAGCATTCACTCGTAAGCACGATTTACATTGTATTTAATAATAATAATAATAATAATAATAATAATATTAATTCTGGTGTAATTTCTTGAGATGAGGGCGGGGAGGGAGGTCAGTATAGAAAACTGATTTCAGCATGTGACTTTTCAACCAATTATATTTGGAATTTAGCCTCAGGAAGCCCTTCGCTGGTTGCTTGGCTACGGTGCTCATTCAACAAGCAAAGATCTCATAAGTCAGGAGTAGCAAATTCGGAGATAGGCGATCAAGGTTTTTCCTGTCAAGGAGAAATCCCACATTGTACCAATCAGCTGTCAGGTTGGTTCGGGGGTTTCGAAACACCTTGTCGTGTAACCAGGTGAGGAATGTGACATGCTCAAGAAGGTACAAGATCCCATTCATCGCCACTTTGCTCGGCTATCATTGTGCATCCATGACACTTCACTAAATACAGTAGGCGAACCTTTCACCCATGTGAAGAGCTGTAGGAATGGCTAATAAACGGCCGATTGTGAGCTGGCAGTAAAGAGGACAGGAACAGGAGGAGGAGGTTATTCAGGGCATCCCACCCTGAATAGCAGAGCAGGGCTTTTGATTCCAGCCGACGTCCATAGAAGTGTAATTTGTTATTGCTGTTAACACTGTCATTGTCTTCAACGGTGAGGGTTGCACCATCGCCAGTGTAGCACGATGACACTGTTTTCTGGCTGCAACACGGGTTACGTAAAGCTGCATTAATGTGAGACTTGTGATTTTTTTTCCCTTTCTCTTTAGTTCTCTGCCTATTTCCGAACGGATATCTTGGGAAATTGAAAGCAGCTGGAGCTGTGCAGAGACACAGGCCTGGTATTTAAACGTAGAGGATTCTATTTTTAGTCGCGACCCACAGAAGCGCGCCTGACATGTATGTGTGCGCAAAATTAAGCACTGATATTTCAGGTGACATTTGGAGAAATGTTGCAGTGAAAGAAGCAGACCCGCAAGCTTGAGTTGCAGAAACACTGACAGATGATCGGAGGCTCAATTTGTTTTGAACAGCTGCCCTTCATCTGCATTTGAAGCATTATATCGTCGGCATCTGAAGTGGCCAATAATGGAGGTACCATTTCGTGAGCTTCCCATATACCACGTCCACCTGTCCTATTTGTTCATTATTAATAGTGCAATTGTCTTTACCAAAGGGAACAGCTAATTCTGAGCCGCTAGTTAGGAGCTTAGGAACAGGAGATGGCTATTCAGCACATCCCACCAGTTTATTAAATCGTGACAAGAGCTTTTAATCCCATTTCCTTGCCTTTTCTCCGCTCAATACTCCTGCTTCCCCGAGTAACTATCAATCTCCCTTTCAAACACTGCGATTGATTCTGTCTCTTCAGCCTTCTGGGACAGTGTGTTCCACATTCTCGCAACCTTCCGTGCGAAGCAATACTCTCTGATCTCACCACTAGGCTCCACTTTTAAGATTTACGTCTTCTTGTCTTAGATCCCTCTACCTTAGGGAGGAGTCGTTCACCAACAGTAGCTAGATACAAGATGTGGGAGGCAACTTGCCAATTCCCTTCACTGATTGAAGCACACAGGTAATACTCATAATAATAATAATAATCTTTGCATTTGATATAGAGCCTTATCACGTCTTCGAGACGTCTCAAAGCGCTTCACAAAATATACTGTCAAGCGAATTGACTGTATATTTTGTGGGTGAAACCCGGCAGACAATTGTGCACAGAAGCGTCCCACAAACAGTTGTGGATTCAATGACCACATTTTTTTTGAGGGTTTGTTATCCCCGGAAAAGCGATCCTCCAATCGACTAACATCCGGGTTCCAATTTACCGCTAGGTAAACAGAGGCGTGTGGAGTTAGGAAGTTTGCCTAAGCTTTTGTCCTGGCGGGGAATCGAACCCGGATCCTCTCATTTGTGAAGCGAGCCCTCTAACCAATACGCTACAGGACTTCTGTATCCCTTTAATTCAACACAAAAAGCAGCTCAGTGTTTTTTTTCTCTCTCTCTCCTGCAACAGGATCGACACGTGTCAGCACAACATTCATACACAGAAATGGTAACCCGTTGGTATTGTCACGTACGTGTTCTAAGAAGCAAGGTCCGATCTCACTCAGGTGGGGATCCTCCTTGTTGTACTGCTTCTCCAAGTCTCTGACGAAGCCCATCTGAAACCTGTAGATGTCCTCGATATTTCCAAAGATGACTCGGAGTTGCTCATCGCTGAACATGTCTCTGCGTTTCCTGCATTGCCTTAGGTACCCCTGAAGTGGGAGAGATGCATTTACTCGCCTGCGGTAAATGTCACTTTGATACGGCAGCATACACCGCACAACAGTATTAAATTATTCACTAACAGGAAGTCAAGAGATTCGGTCTGAGGCAAAACTATCCTTCCCATTCAGATGGCAGCACAGGAAAAATTCATCTGCCTGGTTCCAAAACATTTCAATGGACTCCTTGAGACAAAAATATGGGTGAAGAGCGGTTAAACATTAAATGCCAAATGCTGCATGTTAAAACTTTATATTTATAGATTGTATTTTGGCGCGGAGCTAGTTTCTAGGTTTTCATTTTCGCAGAGGTTTATTTCTGTGCTTCCTTGCCCCACATAGATTCGGCCGGTTTGTGTGCACCTATGAGCCCAATCGAGTCACAATTAAACAGTCCTCAGCTTCCTGAAGAGATTCTGCAGAGAAACAGTGAACGTTTCGAAGAACAAAAGTGCACAGTGATTTCCGAAATAAAAAAAAATCATTTAAGAACTTTTCCACGTCATTCTGAACAAGTAATTCGAGGGGTGTCAGACTGTGGATATGGATAGGGTCACTTTTACCTCACAGATGTCTTTCAGGTGTTTGATGTAGTGTCGTTCTGTACTCATAATTTCATTGATGACGTTTGCTCTCATCTGATCTCTGTTCTGTATACTCCTGCCAAGGCACAGGCAGTCGGAGTTTGGGTCCAGATGTCCATTCTGGACCTCACTACTGGCTTCATCTACTGTGTCTTCCTGGTTCACCCAGAGCTACCATTGAGCAAACACAAACGGAGAAAGAATAAGTAACTTGGCTGTCAAGAATGTGTCTCAATCCTCCGAAGGATACAGAACTTCATTTACACAACTTCAGGAATAAAACTCCCTCCCACGCCACAACCAAGGGACAGTAGCGCCCAGTTTTAGCATGATTGATAGATAAATTCCATAAAATCCCAACCAGCATTATTGCGAGATGTGATTGTCGGTCACTTCTTCCACACTCACTGCATTTGCAAGGCAGCTCAAATCAACCCCCCCCAAGTTGACTTTTCAAGCACTAAAAACAAATTGACTTCAAAATAATAATAATCCTTGCATTTGATACAGCGCCTTATTACGCCTTCAAGATGTCTCAAAGCGCTTCACAGAATATACTGTGAAGTGAATTGAATGTAATATTTTGTGGGCGAAAGGGTAATTTGGGGTAAAATCCAAACAGGTATTTGGAGACCTTGTCAACCAAATTGAGATGAGTGGCTATGATTCAGTAAGGTAGACACATTGAATGAGACATTGCACGCAGTAAGTTTCATATTATGTAGGAATTCCCTTCCTCCGACTAGGATATTCATTTGCAAATGCAATATTTATCCACTGTGAATATTAAATATGAAATATTCCTTAATGTGCAAATGTAATATTCACACATTAAAGGAAGAGCTCAGCAATAAACAATAAAAGGTCATCCCTCCACATGATATTTCTCACCATCAATCGTAACCAATGCCAAGCTGCAAATGAATGGGCGCCAATTCAGCTCGATGAGCCAAGTCAACATATTTCCCACTGTTAGGCGAGACAAGGCGTGAAGGTTGGTGGGATTGGATTGGGGTAGTCAACATCATAGAAGAGCGCAATCCATCGTCTACACTAGTGGCGGCCAATCTTTTTCGATGGCCAACAAAATAATCACAGAAATAGCAACATAGCATAGATTTATGCCATAAATCAAGAAATGTTCAATCAAGAAACATTTATTTTGTTGGCCCACCAAAGAGATTGGCCACCACTGGTCTACATAAAAATGGGCTTTTCCAGTCAAGTTCACTGGATGGTTGCTGGAAGTTCGCCAAGGAACACTGGATAAGCAGAGATGCCAAGCCTTGTCGCTTTCTCAGCATGTGCAGTTCTCAAATGGCTTTGAGTGGGTGGCAAAAGGAACCTAAAAGTGGGATGAGACCGCGGAGCTTGGAAACCCTCTCTAGATTTTTGTTTTATTTTTATTTTTATTTTTCCAAAGATCATCCAGCAAATACGTTAAGTAAGACATAAGGGCATGATCAAACCTCTCAGGTAGTAGCACTGATGCCCCACGCATCTTATATTTTCGCTTCTGTAAAAGCTGTCATTAATAATGAATGACCTCCGGGCTTTCGGGATGACTTTCAGAGGATGTTTTTTTTTTGCTGAATGTACAGTAGGGTGAGGGAACCGAACACGTGACGTAACTGTGACGCACAGTCATGCAAACGAGAAGATCCTTCGACTGACCGTAGGCCAAGTATTCCTTTCCTCAAGGACCAGGTTATTTAACTGTCTTGTTAAATGAAGCAAGGCAGCAGCGTGGTGAATGGAGCCCAATTCAATTAAGACGTGCGCAAGGAGAAACTCACCTGTTCGGTTGAGCTTGCTCCGCAAATCGTGTTGGAATGTCGTGGGTGAATGGCCTCCTTGTGTGCTGTGAGACCCTAAAGCCATCTGACCCCTCAAGCCTACTCCGAGACCCATAAGAAATGACTCAGCTCATCTCCTCCTTCTCCTGAGTAACAATCTGCACATGACTTGCTCATTGCCAACTCTACACAACAGTCTTCCCTCTCAGCACAGCTCAACAGAAATCAAGTTAGTCATCGGAGTATTCTTCCTCCTAGTCTGTGCTCATCCTGCATCTTCCAACAGAGATACATCCAGATCATGTTTTCTTAGAAGATGTCAATCGACACAGCAGAGGAATACCACTGGAGATCATGGGGATAGGTCCAAACTGAGGCAACAGTAAGTTCTATTGTAAGTCACCTGGCACAGTTAATACATGCATGTGTTATTCCTCTGTTTATTCACACTTGAGAGAACAGCTGAGAGCAAATTGTTCAAAGGTACCTTGCTTGTCCATTGAGCTTAATTGAAGATAACGATAATAATGCCATTGTGCTGTGATGTCCTGCAGCCAGACATAGGCAACACCGCACATAAACCACAAACTGAACCACACAACTGCACTCATGCACGAACCTCGATCGGTTTATTTCAGGCCAGTCGCAAAGTCCTTGGAGGAAGAATACAAAAGGAAGGAAAAATCTTTGGCTCTTTTGTTTTCTTAAAAATAATAATCGAAAAAATATCGGGGTTTTGCAACAAAGACTAATAAACTGCAATTGAGATACCTCTGTTTACAGTTCCTGTTTATCTGTTAATGAAACGAAAATAATGTCCCTCGAGACACCAATAAGTTCCACGTGGGAAGTTAGCCCAGCATTTACAGCTGCTAACGTTTACTACAGTGGTGTGCTTTGTGACCGAGGTCCAAGAAGGCAGTAAATAGTGATATTTAGCACATCACATACTGCATTTTGCATCCCCATGTGGTGAACCAATGATTTTTGTCCCTCGGGTGAACACCTGCACCCAATTGCATCTGCTCCAATGTGTAAACTGTGTGTGTGTGTGTGTTGGGGGGGGTGGGGCTGGACTTTACATTAGGTTTCAACTACTGTATTTCACGGTAACATTCACCAAAAGAACGCACAGTCACTGCACTTTTCAGCAATTCCTGTGAAGCGCTTTGTGAATTCTTCCCAATGTGAAAGGCGCCACATCAAATCCCACGATTATTACGATTATAACAGATTTTGTAACCAGATGAAAAATTAAATCAAATGGAAAACTCTAGATGATTCACTACCACCTCAGGGTCCAATCAGTGATCAAACGAAGATGACAACACCTTGCATTTATATTTATGTAGCGCACTTCAAGCAGGATAGCGTCCCAGAGCGCTTATATGTTTTTCTTCATTAAAAAATTGGGTCCAGCATGCAGCACAGTGACACTGGGGACGAGCACAATACGCAACACTCTCCATCCCACACACAAGCTTTGTTGACCTGACCACATGAGGGAGGATAGCAAGCAGATGCAAGGTGGGAAGACAATTTGGCAGACTGTTTACCGTGGGGGCATGTCGTGAATCTTGAAGTGACAACTGTATTGGCCATAAGCTTTTAGCAACTCGTGACCAGCTTAGCCTGCGGCCAGTTCAGCTCCAAGGAAACCACCCCCCCGCCCCCCCCCCTCCCCACCCCGTCTCCACCCAGGAGGATAGCTGCTAATTATCACCGAGGAGGAACTATTCTTAGCATCTAATGACACCGACTGCTAAAATGAGTTGCTTGTTTGTCGGGGAATGACTTTAAGAAGAGCTTCTTTCGGAGCTTTCTTTGCACGAGTAACATTCAATTATCTGCACTTTTTATTTATCCGTCGGCAGATTACAGTCTTTTTTTTCAGTCCTGCAACACGGCTGCCTTGTAATTTATCAGGTTCGGAGTTGGAGAGAGAATCTTCCGCGAGTCTAAATTTCCTACGGCTCTAAAAATAATAACCAATTTAGTTTTACAAAGGAGACGGTGCCTCATTTAAGAGAAGGAAATGCCTAGATGTAACAAATGAAATATATATGATAAGAGTACTGTGTCCAAATTTAGCGATCTGTTCACGCCCCTGCGATTTCACCCAAGGAAGTGCTTACGCTCTTGGGAATTAAACTGTCTAAACAAGTCGCAGAGTGCGTTACCTAGTTTTTATTTGTTCACAGTGCCAGTCAGAGGAGTTGAGTTCCAATTGCAGTTTATCTGCATTTTAGACATAGCAAGGAAATCAACCGCATAACACACACCTGCGATCAAATACACTGGGACACACACGGCTGTAACATTCACTGATGTACCACAACATCTGAGTATTCATAGAAAAAGAATCGTAAACATCCTCCCGACAACACTGCTCTACTTTGCACCTCTCTTGTTAATGGAGCAGTTATCGTTGCGTAAAGAAAGCTCTTTCCTATTAAGCATCCTTCACATGATGACCAACTTGTTGTGTAGCTCCCATAATGGACTGCAATGTTCGGCACATCTAATGCAGATTCATTTTGTTTTCACTCTTTCTTCCCTGCGCGAAGTAACCGAGGGTAAATTTTTTATCATATCACTACAATGAGATAGCCGAATAGCCACACCGTGGGGTAAGGATGTCATTCGCTCACTTTGGATCACACAGACCCAAGCATGTGGGCTCCAATGGAGTCATCACACACTCTCAACACCTTTGGTCGATTCTTAACTGCAAGCTCTCGTTCTATCGTGCTAACATCAGCCGAGCTTAGCAGAACATAGCAACGCATGTACACCCAATCAGCCTGTACTCCGGCACTAATAGCAAGCTTGCCAAACTGTCTGCAACTTAATTTATTTCCACTCTCTGATCAGCAGAGTATCTCTGCTTCGTAATACCGCACAACATTTTAAGTGACAAAATGATTGTGGTATTTTGTCACTCAGAGATACGTTTTGCCTGTCCACTGTGAGTTTCTTAAATATGTGCAGCACTTCAAGGAGAAACAGAACTCGAGGTACTTTGAAGGAATAATGGTGCCTGCCTTTCATGTTGATTTCCATCTTTCAGGGAACAAAACAAAAGTTTTATAAAGTAATTCTTGAAGGTAAAATCCGATCCATTCCCTTTCCCCATCCGTGTGTGTACACGGTTACTACCACGTGTTCGCAAAGCCCTAAAATCCACCCAGTCTTGGGCTGTGGGACCATCTAGAAGTAACATTTCAGAATGGTGAAAAATCCTAAAACTTAATATTAAGTTGGAAGCCAGTTTTGCGCAGGTCATCCAAATTAAAGGTTTAATTTCAGAACTGCTCATAATTCTGCGCCATCTTAAAGCACAAGACAAAGCTAAGACTAGGTAGAATTTCAGATCTTTCTTGTTGCACTTGACGACTGGACAAATAGTTGAGCCCTTACTACACCAACAAAACTGGCACAAGTCGCGTCTGTGCTTGCGCTTGCAACTACTGTAAAGTAAAACCCAATTTATTGCACAAACCATCACAGCAAAACTAAATTACTAGACACAACATTGTTTCATTCTTGAGCTCTTATTTCTATGCCTTGCAGTGACCTTGCACTTGGGAACTAATCTGAGTTAAAGTCTGTATGTGGTCTATTTAGCAAGAAAAATGCAGTGAACAGTCTAACACGCTGTGGTGCATGTTAATGTTATTGAAGTGGCAAGTGCTGACATAATTATATTGGTTTCTTGATATTGCCAGTGACAAGCACATTGCTCCAAGTATAATTTAGGTGCTAAAGTGAGATGGATTGAAAGCTGGCTTAGGACATTCACCAGCACAGTTGTGCAAGTCTCTGGGTCCCTAATCAGTCCTACTATTACTTAGAGCAGCAATCTCTCAGGTTTCTTAGAAGAGAGCAATTCTTGAGGCATTACAAAAGAGAGGGAGTTTCTCCCAGCGCCCTGGCCAAGAATTCTCCAGGTAAATTGGTCAATTATTTCATTGCTGTTTGGAGGTCATGCAAATCAGCAGCGTTCCTCCACGAATACCGTCACCACACCTGACGGCAATGACATGGAAAAAACTTCGAGAGGCGTCAACAGTAATATTATTCCTATAATATTCTTTAGCAGCACTCAACACAAATCAAACCAGCTGTTTCCACCCCACCCCTGAGCTTCCCCTCGGGACGACTAGCCCTCAACTATATTGTGAGATGGAACGTGGAGAAACGGTGATCCTAACATAACGGTGAGAATTACATTTTTTTTTGGGTGGTTTGGGGGGAAATGATCAACACTCCTTTCCCATTCGTTCTTTGCGGAGTTAAGGTAACCCAAATCAGGACGGGTGAAACACACAATCGCCTCAGTCCGTCCGCATGACTTTTCCAGCTCAGGATCACTTCGGATCAAGCTTTCATCTCGGCTTGATCCAACCTCGCAGTCAGTCTGCAGTCAGTCTCATCTCATCCAGTGTTAAATGAAATCAATGTAGCATTTGCCAAGCCTGCCCTTTTTGCACCGGGCCTTCTAGCTGGAGGTATCTGTTCCCTTCGAGTTGAGCCAAGTAAACAGCCCTCGCTGTAAACAAAGCTGGAGACACGTCTCCCCAAAGTGTCACCGTGGGCTTCTCTTGTGAGGACAAGTGAATTGTTTGGATATGACTCAGCCCTTTAGGGACCAACGTCCTTTGATGTTGTTTCTTTGATCTCCTTTTCCTTTCTTTCTAACCAGAGGGAGTGCTATTTTAGCGAAAATAATAGCACATCTTCTAATTTTTTTTTAAAAAATGTCAAAACCACTTTACTCATCTTTATTCTCCTGGGGCTCAGTTCTGGAATAATATTATGGAAATGTTTAAAGTCTTGTGTATGTGTGCACGAGGCATACAAATTTTAAAAAGTTGGTAAGTTAAGTGTCATTGGTATTCCTGTGCTGTAGCTTATTAGGTTCTTTAGAATTGAATTTATCTGAGGGAAGGTGATATTTTTTAAGGCTTGTGATAAGCTGAATGTTCGGTTTCATGCGGCAAATCAAACTTGCTCGCTGATTTACCATCAATATTTGAGTTAAACCAGCAGATGAGCCAACTGATGATACTGACTGACAGGAAAAATAACACATACCTCTGCCTCGCCCCGGCTCTCTCCACTTTTAAAGCCAGCCTTAAGCTCTTTCTTTTCAACCGCGCTCTTGGTCACCTTACCTCCCCAACCCCCCCACCCCCCCCCCCCACACACACACACACACCCTTCTCAGCTGCCCCCACCCCTTGGGCTTTGCAAAGCACATTGAGGCATCCTCTCAACATGAAAGTCATCGCATAAATGTAAACTGTTGTTGTATTCTTGCTCAAGCATCACCTCAGATCAAATTTTTAACCTAGAACTGCTTCACTCTCAGCAGAACCCAATGAAAGGGACACCTACCTCAGCAGAAGCAGAAGTCAAGTCCAAACCCCAAGTGCCTGACTTTACTTCAGATGTAATTTCTATCACCCTGATAGGTTCTGGAAGTCAGAACAAGGGAAGCAAAGTCCTCACCCATTCCTCACCCATTCAGCTTCCCACTTGTCGGTCACCCATCCTGTGCAATCTATTTAAGATCCAACACTCCTCGTGCTGAATGATTGGGCTTAGCTGGAATCTAAGAGGTATCCCCTGGCTCTCACACCGCTGAAGGGTTTTCTCCAGAGCTTTCTCCAGTAACACACACAGACTCACTTGAAGAAAAGAATTTGAATTTTAGACTTGGCAGGTACAAATCTTTCTTTCAACAGCCCTGAATTAATTATAATAATAAATAATAATCAACCAATGCGTTCGATATAGTCTCTTGTAATGTCATCAAAACATCTCAAAGGGACCTCATAGTAAGCTGCAAAGTATGTCCTTGCAAATGATTAATTTAAGATAGTGCTTTCATCCCCCAAAACTCTGGAAGACTCTTTCATAGATATCCTTCCGGCTTCCCTATTTTCAGGTCTTGCCTGAAGACCTTCCTCTTTGACCGTGCCTGCTTAAACATAAGTACTTGATAACTTTTAAACATAAGCTTTTCCGGGGGTAATAAAACCCTTCAAAAAAAATTATAATTTTGTCACCCAATCCACGACTGTTAGTGGGAAACTGCTGTGCGCAATTGGCTGCTGCGTTTCGCCCACAGAATATACAGACAATTCACTTTACAGTATATCCTATGAAGCACTTTGAGACGTCTTGGAGCTATATCAAATGCAAGGATGGTAATGATGATGATGATTATTATTATTATTATTATAATAATTATTATAAGCGCCCAATGTTTCTTCAGATTTACGCCACCATCAAGAAGGTGGACCTTATTGCATTTTGGTTGCACTCTTGCTGCTAAGATGCTTAAGTCCCCGAAACGTCTCGAGAGCATTGCTTAGTTAGGGCAATGAATACTGATTGAAACAAACAAGAGATTTTTTTTTTAATCCCGCTTCAACTTACCCTTACAAAACTGGCGGGAAACCAGCCTTCTTCATCGTCGATCTGTCCCCACCACCAATCCTTGTTAGAAGCATCAAGGACTTTGATGACGTCCCCGGCTTTAAATGCCAACTCACGGTCGGCCATTGTGACGTGATCCCATGCTGCCTCAGCACTGACAATGTAACCACCAGTGATCAGCTGGAAACAAACACACAGGGGAAGAAAAACACAAGCAATAAACAAGATTAAAAAGTTATTGTCGTACAGCGACAAAAGCTACCACATCACAATCTGACTTTGACAAAAGGCAAAACACTGCAGATGCTGGAGATCCAAAATAAAAACAGAAGTGGCCGGGAACGCTCAGCAGGTCAGGCAGCGTCTATTGAGAGAGAAAAGTGAGTTAACGTTTCAGGCCGATGACCTTTCGTCTGAACCGTTAACTCACTAACCTCTCTCTCTGCAGATGCTGCCTGACCCAGCGAGTTACGCTCTACTTGACGCTTGACTGACAAAATCATTCTGTCACCTCAGTTCTTTTGGGAGAGAAGCTCGGGCAAATGACAATGTGAACTGCAAACAACAGAGGAAGAAATAAATAGTACCAAAAGTTATTTTGCAAAGAAAAAACTAAATGTAGCTGATCCACTCAACACACAATCTCAAATTCCGTTACGTGGAGAAGTAGGATTAAGGAATCAAAGCTAGAGATGTGGGAATATAACTCTAATTGGAGCAATTATCTGCATAACTCTGGGGATCCCAAGCCTTGGCTCTTGCCAACCTGCCCCTAATACTTTCCAGGATTAGGTAAGCAGAATGCGTCCCTCCGGGGAGAGAGGGCGCATTCCATTCCAACAATCTTATCTCTGGGATTGCCGTGTGTAGGTGGGATGCATGAAATTCTCAGTTTGGTTTGGATACTCTTAAGCGCGGTGATGGGTTTCAAGACACTCGGCTGACCAAATGAAAAGAGCAGATTGGGCTATAACTTTCAGTCCAATATGGTGAGTGCAGGAAGCCCTAAGTAAAGGAGAAAAAGATGACAGGATCAATAAACCAGGATGTTCATCCCTATCACCCCATCAATGCCAAACCTACATCACGTTCACCTTCCCATCACCAGACAGGAATTGATCCAATTTAATATATGGTCGATTGCAAAAATCAAGGATTCGGAAGCTTTCAATTTTGAAAATTATCCCTCAATTCATCTTGGAGCTCCCATAACTTACTAGTTAGTATGGCCCTCCTACTCTGTTGGATCTCCCCATGTACACATCGAACCTGCACCACATTACTCACTAGTCTATTTATCCATCATAATACCGTAGATTGAATTGAAACAACCTCCCTCCCTAACTCACAGACCTAAAACCTAGAATTGTCCTGGTCAGCTTTTGTCCAATTCAACCCTACTCCAACTCTCTGCTCCGCTCAATCACTCTCTCTCTCGCTCCAAAGACAACAGCTCCGGAGGAGAACAGCGCGGAGAGAATAGGTTTTTCCTCTAGATTACTTGACCACTGAAAACAACCTATTCTGAGTGCACTTAGCACAGAGCACCACTTTGTGCTCATAGGGTTGACAGTGATGGAGGGCTTTTTTTTATAACCCTTTCAGATCCAGTAGCAGCAGCAAGTCTTCTGGTATATAAATCCTTGGAGTTCTCAACTTATTTCATAGATCAGCGGTTATTCTTCATATTATCTCAAGAAGCTACCAATTGACTCAAAAGACCAAAAGGCTCCACATTTCTGATGCCAGTGTTCACGACAAGCCGCGACTAGGGAATTCGAGGCAGCTTACTGCATTGGTGCAGCCCTGGCCTGTATTTCCTCTCTGTTGGACATCATTTATCTTCTTCCACGCTTCACAGTTGCCACGTTTCACCCACAAACTATACAGTCAATTCACTTTACAGTATGTTCTGTGAAGCTCGTTGAAACATCTCAGCAACATGATAAGTTGCTATATCAAATGCAAGGATTATTATTACTTTCATTAAGGTACATGTGTTAATCAGCTGTTCGCCAATTGAAATCAACTTGGAACAGCAATTACAATAACAACAACAACAACAAAATTAAATTTGTGCAGTGCCTTTCACAAATCAAACCCTACAGTGTAAAACGTAGCATAAAGCAGACAACTCTTGGGTTAACACTGGTGGACACACACTGTGCAGCTGTAACTCTCCATTGCTCTTTCTCACCTTTGTGTAACTTTCCCTTATCTTTTGGCCCAGTTTTTCCTGTAAGCCAATGAATGGCAAAATATAAATCAGCAAAATATAAATCAATGAAAGGAAAATGGGGTCGAGCGTGTGTAAAGAAACCGTCTCTCAGAGTGACATCAATCATGATTGGAGGAAGATGCACTGAGGATAACTGGAAAAGAACAGCAGAATTAAACTGTTGTCTTCCAAGATATACGATGGTATTGAGGTTGGACCAGCACTGATGAAGTGTTTTAGTTCTGGCATCCCTGACACCTGCCTGCTGAAGGAGGGGTAGGTGACCTAACTGGACAAGCAGTGGGAAGCAGACGAGTCTGTGCTCTCAATGGCAAGCTATACGGTTTCAACTGGTTAAAATCCAGGCGTACGCCCACGCAAACTGTTGGATCCCCCCAAGCCTTTGCGCTCACGAACCTGCCTCCTAACACTCTCCAGAATTTGGTAAGGTGCATTCCTCTGGGGGAAGGGAGTTTTGGGAGCTCACAGGAATTTCAATGTGCAGGTGCCTTACATATGTAGACCTCTCAGTCCGGTTTGTATACTCTTAAGCATTCAGGTAATAATAATAATCCTTGCCATTTGATATGGCGCCTTATCATGTCTTCGAGACGTCTCAAAGCTCCTCACAGGATATCCTGTAAAGTGAGTAGTGTATTTTGGGGGCAAAACATGGCAGCCAATTGCGCACAGCAATGCTTGGCTTAATATACAAAGCACTTCTCCATTCCCTGTTACGGAACTTCACTTAGAGAAAAGAGAAATTAAATTTCTGTAACATTCTTGTTCAATAAAGATGCTTTCGGTTTTAATTAACATTTTTTTTTAAACAGTCACCTTCCAATTTTGTTTGCGGGCTAAGAAAGCTTTGACAATCTAACGGCAATTCTCCAAAGCCGTTAATACTTTGCTGTGTTGAGCAAGCATCGATGTAAAGTTTCTCCTGATTATTGGCTGACATGACATGAGTGCTTGGTTGTGAGCATAAGCCAATCCCGACAGGAACAGATATTAGGCTTGAGACTGAGCTGCAATGTCATGACGGTCTTGCCATTGAGTCTTGAGATGGAAGACGAGGTGGCTTTGAGTTGGGCAGCCTGAGCATGCGGAGAGATTCCTGCTTACTGATCAGAACTGGACAGCAATTCAGGAAATACAGGAGTAAACTTGCACCCTTTGTTCTTTTTACCCGATCCCTCCCTTCGAAGCAGACAATCCGCTACCAAGCAGGTCACCTTGGAGCAAGCTCATTCTATTCACTATATCGAGTCATAGCAATGACCAAAGGCGTGTAAAACGAGAGTTCACAGTGGTTAACAAGGACTCGCAAGCTGCGACAAGGAACTCCTTCCAGTAACTGGAAAACACGTCACACAAATACGCGGTTATTCCACTCGGATGTGATCTGCTTTCAAACAGATGTTCCTGGGGTCTGTGTGATATATTTCCTGCCATGGAAAGGAGACACCATTTGCTACTCGAGGGCGCGTATTACTGAGAAATCCATCTTGAAATTGCTGTATTTACAACCCTTGTGTGTAACTAATCTTCCCTGCCGTGCCCCAGGTTTGCAGACAATGCAGGGTATTTTTGATTCAAGTGGGCCCTTCCTTGCTTCCCACAGTCCTTAACCACGATGACCAATGCTCACATTCCCACCTTCAGAAATACTCATCTGCTGATTGTTTGACTGAATGAATCAGCCCCCCTAAAAAACCTCCTTGATCGGTATCCGTCAGTGTTTACCTGATGGAAATGTCACTCTATAAGCAGTTCAATTCATCTCATTATAAACATGCCTTTAAGTGCACTGCAGTTACACTTCATACAAGTGGGCACCCCTGACTAATGCTAACAAGAACTGCGGTGAAATTAGATAACATGTGTAGTCAGAGAATGATCAGAAGATCACGAGAGTGGGTTTGGGTGCACAAAGGACCTCCGATCTGATCCTTCCAGAATATCCGCTCTGCCTTCTTTCCTTTTTATTAGCAAGCTATTGCTCGAACTAGCTCTGTTCCGACCAACACTTTCTGGTAACCTTTTTCAGCCACTGATCACCGTATGCGCAAAAAAATCCTTCCCTGCTCTATCCTAAACTTGCCCTTCGCAATCCTGAATCTCTGACCTCTCCTGCGCTGCCCACAAATGTATTGTTCTGGTTTACTTTCCTAAGAAGATTACATAAAACCTTTGTGCTTTTTGCAGGAACGAATACTGAATGCAGGAGGTTGAGACTCAAGAGTGACGCACAGTAACAAAATATGGATCCATCTCTATGGTTCCGATTTCTTTGCAAACTCATGACACAAAATCCTCTGCTCTCGTCGAACACGTGATCACTGAGAACTGAACTCAGAGGCAAACTAAATATGGAGGTGCAAGATTCGCCCCTCGTACAACATCAGGTGAAGCAAGTCGCAAAGAATTTAAGGATGGACTATTAAATCCGACGCATAGGTAGCCTAAGAATGCCATCGCAAGAAATGAAGTGCAGACTTACAACAGCTTCTAGACCTGAAGGGTTTCCCTCCAGCATTGCCGTGGAATTGTCAGTAGCTTCAGATCATGCTGAGAAAATGTTATTACTGGAACAAAAAAAAACCCAAATAATTTGATTGGAGTTTTCTTCCAGTTTTTGTTTTGAAAAAGAGAAGCTTGCATTCAAAACCTACGGTTCATTTGGTCAACCCTTTCTCAAACGCTGCAACGTGTAAAATTATCAATTGTGTCAGACGTTGCCTCAAAAGGGAGTGGGGGGAGGGGAGGGGGGGGGAGAGAGGAGGAAGCAATAGCATTCCTTGTATTTTCAGACCGTTTCTAAAGATTGTCATTTTTTTCTGAACAAAGCAAATGTTGGCACAGAGACACAGGCCTACGACAGAGACACGCCAAAGGGTTAATTGGTCGTGTTAAATGTTTCAGATCTCACGTCTAGAAGCTTAGAAGTTACGAGTCGTACCTGTGGTCCCTTGCTCAAAATCGCCCACCCTTGGTTGGGTAAATTTCATCAGTTCAACGGCAGCTCAATGGGGGGAGGACTAAAGCGGGTGGGTGGGGAGGGGGGGGGAGATAGGGGGGTCTCAGCTCAGACAAGGACGAGAATTATCCTCCCAGCCTCCTGTCACAACACAGCTTTGATATCAGATGAAGAATTTGGCAGGCCAGACCAATGTACTAACCACGTGAAACAGGATAGGCAGATGTGCGCAGTTTACAACAACAACTTAGATTTATATAACGACAACAAAATTACATTCGTATAGCACCTTTCACGTCAGGAGGTCTTCCCAAGGCACTGGACATACATGTAGACCCCTTCATGCGGGGTAGTGTCTCGGAGCAGTTTATAAGGGGACAAGAGCGGGGGCTGGAGGTGGCATAAGGGCATTCCACATTCACATTAATAGGTGCATCAACAGGTTTTTTTTTTTGGGGGGGGGGGATAATGGTTTTCTTTTGCAACCCTCCCAACCCCCTTTTTTTTCTCTTTCAACCAAATAGGAGACAAATGCAATAAAACCAGATTGTTACAATTTCTTCCAATGATGCAGTATTTTGCTATACAATACACATTGCTATTTCCAAACCCACCCTCTCTCTACTGCCCACTTTCAAATAAATCGCTTGGATGTCCTCAGCCTGTGTGTGTGTGAGTGTGTGAGTGAGTGTGTGTGTGTGTGTGTGTGTGCCAGCTGTCATGGAGATAGGAATGTTACATAAATACCTAATTTCTTATATAAAAAAAATTAATTTCCCATTTGGTTTGGTGAAAAATCCTAGCTTGGCAGATGTCTCTGGGCAGCTAATGCGAGACTATATGTTTGCTTGCCCTGTCCTCTTTTTTTTCATCCTCTCTCTCTCTCTCTCTCTGAGTGCACCTGTGAATTTTATTTGGCTAAAATATTCCTTCCCTGAAACGATGCACACACCCACACAACCTGCACTAACTGCCCACATGCCCATGGCTTAATGTCTCATCTGAACAAGAGGCGTAATGGGAGAGAAGGAAGGGAGGGAGGGAGGAGAGGATGCTAGGGTTGCACTTTGGAGTCTTGCATTGCCTCTCTCCCTCTCTCTGTCTCTCTATCTCTCTCTCTCTCCTCAATAAACTGCAGCTCCTGTGAGTCACGACTCAATCTCCCCCTTCCTCCCCCGAGTGGATGGTATTTTTAAAACAAGTGTCAGGTTCCCTCAGATGCAGAGATCCAGCAAAAAAAAAAAACCCTTGCAGGTGAAATGTACATGTAGTGCCTACGAGATGGGGAGAGGTGGAGAGAGATCCAACACAGAAATTGGGTGGGAGGGGGGGGAGAGGGAAACCTGGGTCCAATCTGACATTTCCTTACTCGATTTCAACACTTAACACACACACACACAAGAGGGGATTTAATGTTCTCAGGATCCAAGGCAACGAGATTGCCAAAGTCCAATTTGCAGCCAAGAAAACATTAAAAATGGCTGCAAGTGAAATGCATATCATTATAAATTTCCAGGCAGAATAATTTGGGTCCAAGACACATGAGAAACAAGGTCCAAGGGGTACCTGAGCTGTCTCTCTCTCTCTCTCTCTCTCCTATTTCCTTACCCCCCCCACCACTCCCATCTCTCTCTCTCTCTCTCCCCCACACACACACACACACAAAAAACCTCTGATGTGCAAAGCAAATCCTTTCTGTGTGACAGAAATAGCAACAATTGGAAATACTTTGATTAACACTGCGACCAGAGAGGTTTGCCTTGGAGCTAGACTTTAATCTGCGATGGGTATAATATTAACTATCTCAGGCCTGAAACAACCCTCTCCCTCCCTCTCTCTCTCTCTCTCTCTCCATCTATCTATCTCTCTTACATCCACTCACACTATACCAGCACAAAGTCAGCATTTTTTTAAAAAAAAACTTCTTTCTTTCTTGAAAAAAAACCTTCCTCACCCCCCCCCCCCCCACACACACACACAACCCCCACCCCCCAAAAAAACCCACACACACATTGTCAATCACACACAACTTGTTAATTACATACATGTCCTGCATCAGTCTTCCTTTGTCAGAATGAGATGGGCTCCTTCCACCACATGAGGTTTTGCTTAATCTCTTTTTTTTTAGAAATTAAACCAAATGAAATGAAATTTGGAAGCAAAGGAAATAACAGGGCACACGATCTTTCCTGACAAGACAAGAATAAAACGTATCCATTTCCATGGTCTTTTAAAAGGGGACCGTCCAGAACAACAGGGAATACATCCCTCCCCTCCACACACACACACACACACACATAGGATGCAAGTGAGGAACGTTATCAATTTGTTTTACACACATATATGTATATATATATATATATACATATAAACACAAAGCATCTCCTCTCGGGAATAATCACCTTCGATTTAATGTTCTTTTCGTGCGTAAATGCAACGGTTCATAATCCACTTAAAAAAACTGGTACAGACACAGAGAGAGTGAGAGGAGAGGAGAGAGAGAGAGAGAGAGACACACAACACACACCACACACCACACACAGCAATACACTGATCATCAACGTAATTGCTTACTGGAAATCTCTGCAGCGAACGAACCAGCTCCCCTGAAGCTAGAATACGCCACATATGGGCTCTCGAACGAATACGAATGCATCTCAAGAACTCTCGACTTGCGGGCAAAGTGATGAGTGTGAAATTATAATGATGGTGATGATGATGATGATGCTGATGCTGATGCTGATGATGGGTGATGCTGGTGCTGGTGCTGGTGCTGATGCTGATGATGGCGATGGGGATTATTCGCGATTCGGATTATTTCGATTAAAACACAAGGACCACGAGCGAATAGAAGAGAGAAGAAGAAGAAAAAGACAACACACACACACACACACACACAAGAAAGAGATAGAGAGAGAGAGAGAGAGAGAGAAATGAAGTAGATCATATACCAACGTCATTCACATCACTGCAGGGCCATATTGTGAAGCTGTTCTCTCTCCCCCTTTCCAAACCCCCCAACCACCACCACCACTCTCTTGGACACACACACACACACACAGAGAGAGAGAGAGGAGAGAGAGAGAGAGAGAGATAGAGAGAGAGAGAAAGAGAGGAGAGGAGAGGAGAGGAGAGGGATATGTTGTACCCCCCCCCCCAAAAAAAAAAAAACCAAACCAATCGCTCAAGGAGCATCCATTAACGTGTGCCAAGCAAGAACATCAGGATCACATTCACCAGCACCAACACCACGATGATGGCAAACACGACAATGGTCTGTATATCCAAGGTCATGGTGCAATGCAGGAGGCTGTAGTACTCTGGATGCGGATCTGGCAACCTCTGGGAGGACAACCTGGGCTCTGAGCTGAAATTGTCCAATAAATCCACCATGCCAGATGAGATGCTCTCCTTTTTTTTTGCCTTCTCTCTCTCCCTCCTCTCTCTCTCTCTCACTCCCTCTCTCCTCTCTCTCTCTCTCGGGTTATTGTTATTTCTCTCTTTTGTTGTTGTTGTTGTTGTTCAGTCCATCGCAATAAAGGAAAACACACACACACACACACAACACTCACTCACTCACTCACTCACACAACGCAACGCAACGCAACGTCGGGGGCTCTCAAGGGCTTAAGATTCCTTGCGTTCGGCTCTGATCAAAACCGTGTGGGTAAAGAGCCAGAAGAGAAGACCCGAGTGAGTGGGGGGGGGGGGGGGGGAGGATAAAGGGAAAGGAAAAGGAAGGAGGGAGGGAGGGAGGGAAGGGATGGAGGGAAGAAGGAGAGAGAGAGAGAGAGAGGATCCTTCAAAATACATTGCTTGGGAAATAGCAGCATCTCATCCTCATGTCACTAGTGGTGTGCAATGCAAACCAACTGAGCTGAGCTGAGTGGAGAGGGGCTGGGCTGGAGCAGGGGGGGGGGCTGGGGGGGGGGGGGGGCTGGAGCTAATCTTCCAGTGGCCAAGGCAAGGATACAGCTGCCAATCATCTATCAAAAAGCAAATGGCATGCAATACTCAGGCATCACAGAGCATCCCTCTTTTCCTTCCTTCCTTCCTCCCTTCCTCTCTCCCTCCCTCCCACTCCCACTGCCTCCTCAGATAATACCAGAGGGGTGGGGTGGGGGGAAGGGGGAGAAGGGGAAATGGGAATGTTTAATATTGTGATGGGGAGTGGGAGAGAGGGAGGGAATGGGGGGGGGAAAAATGCAAAATATCTTTGCAGGCTGACAGGTGGAATATTTCACTTGTTGTTGTTTTTGGCTTCTCTTTCAGAATGCAAAACAAATCTCTCCCCCCCCCCCCCCCCCCTCACTCACCCCACCTCCCTCCCTCCCTTCCATCACCAGAACATTAACCCTTTTTGGGAGAATGACTGTCTCCTGTGACAATATAATATAATGTCAGGGCATTAACCCTCTTGAGTCCTAGAAAATGTCACCGGTCTTTTTTCTTGCTTTAAAGGTGCGAGACTGGCATTCGAAGTGGAACGAATGCACAAAAGAATTGATTACTGGCTAAGTTGTCTCCACTTTGCAAAGAATAAAAAGTCCACCTGCGGTGGGTCAAAGCCACGGTGCAGTTTGTGTTCAGCCTTAAGGCTGGAAATGAAAAATAATACTCATTTAGATTCATTCCAAACAGAATATAATTATGTTTTATAATACATATATATAGAGAGAGAGCGAGAGATGTAAGAACTGCAGTACCGCAAATCTAGCCCACAAACATACAGTCAATTCACTTTAAAGTATATTCTGTGAAACGCTTTGAGACGTCTCGAAGACGTGATAAGGCACTAAATCCAATGCAAAGATCATTATTATATTATTTATATTACACCTCAGAGATAGAAAGATTGAAAGATAGAAAGATTGATCAAATACTCATATCCTGGTTTAGTACACAGCCAATTTCTACACGCAATGTCCCACAAACAGCCATGTAGTTAATGACCAATTTTCTCTGGGGGATTGTTGGCTTGGACACTGGGAGAAACTTCTTTCACTTCGAGTAGTAACATGGGATCTTTGGCATCCACCTGAACGGGTTTAACATTTCACCTGATGAAGGACGGCACCTCACCGAGCATTGCATTGGAGTGTCTGTAATTCTAGATTGTCAGCTCAAAGGCGCAATGTTGGGCGTGAACCCACAACTTGCTGACTCAGAGGCGAGAGTGTTACCAACTGAGCCGGGCTGACACTGGAAGGTACACGTGTGGATGTCAGATGAGCAGGGGATTGGGCTGAAATGAGCTGCCCCTCCATAACCCAACACCAACACAACACTTATATAGCCTGGCTCTGAGCTGGGGGTGGGTGTGGCGGGGTGAGGTGGCCGTAAGCATGGTCGAACAGGAAAGTTTTCAGGCGGGACTTGAAAGAGGGGAGAGACGGGGCAAGACGGAGGGGTTGAGGGAGAGTGTTTCAGAGTTTTGGGGGCGTAGTGGCTGAAAGCACGACCTCCGATGGTGAGGCGGAGGGTGCGAGGGACGAGCTGGAGGTCGGTGCCAGTCCAACGAAGGCGCCGGGTGGTGGATTGGGGAGTGAGGAGTTCGGAGAGGTAGGGAGGTGCCAGTGAGTGAATGGATTTGAGCACGAGAGTGAGGATCTTGAAGTCGATGGGGTGTTGGGGTCAATACTCCCTGCCAAGGCTTATACACCAATAGAGCCCATTCACATCATGTAACCTAGGGTGACCCGCCCTTTGGATCCATATTCCAGACAAAGAGGAAAAGGGGTCAAATGCATTCAGGAGACGATGAGGTGAAGAGGAAGACATTTGGAAGGAAAATGGCAGAGGAAACAAAATAGGGGGAAAAAAACAAATTCTATTACAGTTAAAGTTGATGCCGGAGTTTGCACCCATGTTTAAAGGTTGGAGTCCATGTCCGATGTTATGGCGATGCCAAGATATTGATCCAGTGCATGAGGTTCGGTTAATGCTGAATTGTAATGGGACTTTGGAAATCTTAGCCATGGTGCTATGCTACCAATTTCAAATGTTTTTTTTTTAACCAACAAAAAACTTTACGCCGCATTTGGCAAGTTTTGCTGAAAATATTAAGTTCAAAATAATTGCTTTAACTCCTGTTATCGTATTCGTATCAATGTACGCATTTGGCGGTGTTATAGTGTCATGCGAGACCAAATAAAATTAAGTTTTATCACTTCACTACACTGAAAAATGCTTCGGATCAGCTAAAATACATATATACGCTGTAAAACTAAAGTGTAAACCCATTATCTGAAACCTTTGGCTGCACGACTGCCTCTGTTAATTACTGCAACACTCTGGGTACGTAAAGGTTTTTGTTCAGAAGGGTTGATGCACTTCCATGCTTATCAAGGTGACGGATTGCAGTGCAATACTGAGGAATGGAACTCTTTTCCATTCTTTCCATTGGGTGTTGTTATCGAGCGTTGCCAGATAAACTAAAAGGCAAAAATTAAATGCAAAATGAAGCTAAGATCCCTCAACTCTGGCCAATAATGGACCACCCCAACTTTGGAAGACCAACAACCGACTAATGTATTCATGTGGCTTTTCACACTTTGGTTCGCAGGGTGACAAGACCCATGTGAGAAGAATCCTGCTTCTGAGAACCAACCCCTCCACATCCAGCTGACAAGCCAGGCAACATGTCTGTCATCAGCCGTCTCTGTACTGTGGCCACACCTAAGCTCAGGGAACGGAGACCGAAACCACCGCAACACAGAGGATCGACTCGCTATCGACAGAGGGGAGCTCGATCAGTGCAGCTGATAATCTACATCTTTACCCAAATTGAGGTGTAAAGCTTCTGGCGAAAATGTGTTAAAATGCAATCTTAGACTTTCATTGGCAGCTGTTGAAGCTTCAATCTCCCAATGATAATAATAATAATAATCCTTTTATTTTATATCGCCTTCTGTGACATCGCTGATACGTGCTTCGTAGAATATATTGTAAAGTGAATAGTTGACTGTGTATTTTGTGAGCGAAATGCGACAGGAATTAATAGCTGAACCATGGGATTGTAATCTCCTCCAACACATCTAGTTTTCACTGCGAGGTTGGAGATTCCAATTCTGACAAGTCTGATTCAACATGTACATTTGGACAGCAGATTACAGTAGCATCAGCACACAGTTCTTAAGTTATTCTCTCTTGTGGTTAAAGATTCAGTTCCAAAACTGGCTGATGCTTAAATCCAGTATCTTACATTGTGAGGAGTTACATCAGTTTTTGGCCAGTTTGCTTGGCATCATTGCTCAGGTTAAGGGGAACATTGAAATTATCCAAACTCTGTCCACTGTGGCCGTTCAGTCACCAGTTGTATTTCAGACCAAAAGCTAAGCGGTCTGCGGAGATTATCATCGGCAAAGAGAACGTCAACATTTTCCACAGCTCAAACGTAATCAGCAGAAGCTGATGATCCAACCACTGTTATTTCTAAAACGTTATTAGCATCTGAATTGCAATGACATTACAGTGGTGGAAAACATCAAAACAGCCACCGGGAATTCGCAACAATTACGTCAGAGCGAATCCCGCAAGAGTAAGCGAGAGTTGATGGGATTTTAAATTCATTTACGTTTCCTGTGCAGCGTTTACAGGTGAAGTTTAAATGTCGTATAAAACGCTGGAAAAAAATTACGATTGGGTGTTTTGGGGTAAAACAAACAAGCTGCATATAATAATAATAATAACCCATTCATTTGATATAGTGCCATATTAGGTCGTTGAGACATCTCAATATGCA